TGTTCTGAGAACTGGTCTAGAAAGGGAGTGTACTAGGCCATATACAAGGAAAAAGTGTACCTACATTTTAGAACACCGTTCGAAAGTAGAATATCTTATTTCCCAATATTTTGATCTCCTTCTGTATTTCTTTCTGTTATGGTGTGCATTTTGTGCTTACTGTTACAATTTCTCCTATGACCTTTTTTCAGGCTGTTAACTGTAAACAAAAGCCTGATAGATCATGATTTCTGGGATGATGCAGCTCAGTCATTTACATTGCATTACACGTTATTCAGTGATATTGTCCAACTTGTGTGTTATATATTGGTACAGATCATGCACATTTCTCTAACCAGCAAAGGTGTTGTACAGTTTTTTTTCCTGCTGATTTTGGTACAATCTCTTGGGATTTGAGACCATGATTTATATTCTTTACCATGGCCCAAATAATAGCCGTGCGCTTCACCAATTCAGCATGCATCCACGTTTTTTTTTAAAAAAAAAAATTCACCGGGAGGGAGAGCTTTCCCACCTGAATTCATTGATAAAAGAGAGTACAGAGAGTCCAATCGGGGTAATTAAAGATAGGGTGGATCTGCTCTCACCAGAGCGTTTCACGCGACTTCGGCATGGCGTGTTCGCTCCCGCTACTATCCACGTCGTCCGGTTTCTCCTTCGGGTCACTGGGGTGTGGACCAACACAAAACTTTTTACGACGGCAATCGACTGCTCTGTGCCGCTTGATCCCGTGGCTGACGAGTGGGCCTAATTCTTCTCAATCAACCTTTCTTTGATGGGTATAGGCGCGGGCCTGTAAAGAACGGCTGCTATGCCGGCCCCTCGTGCCTGTAAAAAGCTGCTTTGGTGCCTTCTTATTTGGTTCGATGGGCCTGGTCCAGGGTGCATAGAGAATAAGTGGGCAAGAAAATAATATGTTCTCTATGGACCGGGAGCACACATAGCGATGTGCTTGTTTACCCGCATACTCCTTGCCCCACCGTCCGAGCTGTTGGAGCCACTATGTATTTGATAAAGAGCGTTACCACTGACATTTGGGCTCCCCTATTGGTATGGTCCCACCGATCAGCCAGTAATTGCCGTTGCCCATTGGGTGGATTTACCCTATGTGTTTTGCGCGCCCAATGGGAAATCAACAACAGTTTCTCCGTTTCCCCATAGTGCTCTGGAACCCATCAATGCCACCGAATGCCCTTCTCTCCTTTTCCCCTTTCTTCAGTTCTTTTCTCCTTTTCAGTGTGTGAAGTGTTCAGAGTGCTACAAGCATTATCCATTTCACTCTTTGGTTCCTATGAAGATGGCTAGGTAAATTTCTCCATGCGCATGATGTTCTCAGCATTCTTGTGCAATGTGTGAGTGTCCTCAGCTTATGCGTGTTTTTCTATCGATGTGTCTTCTGCATTCGTCGTCACCTTCATATAGGAATCAGGCTTGACGTCACCTACAGATCGCCCGTAAAGCAAAAGGTAGGGCCTGGTTGGTTCCTTGCATTCATCCGTGAGCTTTGATGGTAGGCTTACTCCTCTTCATGGCGCCCCGGCTTAGTGATCGAGGCAGTGAAGCCGTGCCTCGATCCCCAAGACATCGTCCGAAGCCGTGCCTCCGGCAACAACACCTCAAGCGCTTGAGGTCAATGCCGGTTATCAGCGCTCGGCGCTTTTAGTTATTTTCTCATGTGAGTAACAACCTCTCCTCTGTTGTCAGTTACTTGCCATGCATGGTATCCCTGGTTCTGACTGCTTGCCAACCATCTCAGCCACTATCTCAAATTACTACCTCTAACGATAGGATTTTTCATCCATATTACCCCTGGCTCTGATTGCTTGCCACTTTCTCAAGCATAATCTCAAATTGCTAGCTCTAATGATACGATTTTGCATCCAAGTAGTTATTTTATGGCCTACCCAAATATCTACCAGGATTCACCAGTGTTATGAGGGATTCTGCATTTTGGTACAGTAGTCGGATGAGATCAGCAGAAAGTGAATCAACTATATGCTTCCTTGAAAAGAAAATCTCCCAGTTTTTGTAGACTGAAGCTTCATCTGTTATGTGTTAATTACATAAAAGGAAGTGACTGCTAGGAGCCACACAAGCTGTGGCGGGCAAACTAATACACTTTTGAGCTGTGAGCCAGTGAGGCTAGATTGATTGAATATATGTGGAGAAAACTGCCCACAATATGTATTTTAGAACTAGCTGACAACATGCTGACATTACCAACTAATTTCTATCATGGTAGCACTGTGGTCAGGACAGAGCTTTGGAGTTTTTAGGTGCCCTCTATGTAGCAGCAAGTGCAATGTAAAATTTGAAGGTTCACGTCCACTTTAGATTTCAGGTTGGTTTGAGGTTGTGTCATTTGTGTGCCATGAGGTTGAGCACCCACCACCTTGCCTAGGAGATGCAACTTACTTTTTTCCTGAGTCATGTCTTTGTATCAAGCTAACTCTGTTAAAATTATCATCCTCATTGACTAATGCAAAATCAAATTACCAGATTTGGATCTACATTACAGTTGTGTTTCTGTGTTAAAAGGATAAAAATTGCTAATATTTATCTTTCTTTCCAGTTTGCCTTCTACTCTAATTGGTATGTGAAATGGTTGTTAATAGACAGTGGAATCTTTTTTTTTTGAGAGAAATAAGTGTAATCTGATTATAAATGTGAATATCAAATCTGATGACTCCTTTTGTTTTGTCCACGTAAAAAGGATTGGCTACTACCATAAAAGGTGCTCAAGTTTGTCAAAATTCCAGGAGTTTCTTGAAGTTGATTTTTGGTTATCTATCAACCTTGTGGCTCTGCTTTCTCATGTTATACTGTGCTAAGCAGCTGCATTGCAGTTCAAGATGTATTATTTTATACACAATCTTTGGAAATGTTTGAATTGCCACTTAGCTTCAGTTTTCCTTGAATGCCATGACTAAATGCATGTCTTTAAATATAGCGGGGTATCACTGCTTAGTTGTCAGACAAGAACAAATAACTGACAATAGAACTTGCTGCACTGATTATTATCTCATCTTCCTATTTTGTTTGATATTAGTTTTTTCCTTTCTAAATTAATGGACAAGAGGAACAAAACCAAAGTCAGGAGTTCTTTTTTGTTTACTCTGTTTTTCTATATCAAATTTAAGTGACAATGCTGTGACACTTCTTACCGACAATATGTACTATAAAATGATTAGAAAACCTATCAATTGACCTCCATGACTATCTTTGTACTTAATATTACTCTAAATGGGATATTAAAAGGCAATGATGATTTGCTCTATTTTTTTCTCAAGATTTGAATGAAAGTGAAGTTATATACAATTACAGATATGGTAACATACCCTATAATCTCTCAATAGAGCTTTGTGAAGCCTATGCCTAATGTTTGTTGAAATAATCTGCCATATTCATGTTTTGCCTACTTGCCCGTTGGCTATGTGACTCTCATTGTCTAGACTACTACCCTTCACACTGGTTAAATTGGTCAGAATTTTGCTTTGCTTTAGATGCTCTTAGCAGCTATCGCATAGTCATGTTATTTGCTTTTCTTTGAATACTATTCAATGCTCTCCTATAATTGTATGTAAGCTACATAGCTTTTGATGAACGGTAGGGCGCTGCGAAGCGCGGCTAAAGTCCTAGTTATACATGAAGAGAGTGGATAGAGGAGGAGAAGAGAGACTTCCACGTCGAGATTACATGACGGTCATCTAACTTAAGTCGCTCAACCCACAAGGAAGCTTCAGCATGCATCCACGTGAACTCTATGGGCCAAACGAAAAGAATGTTCTTATCTTTCAAAAAAGAACTACAAATAAAACAAATATTGTTTTTCATGCCAATCAACCGCAATTTTCAGCCATATATAGGTGTTTATGAATTATGAAATCTGGCATTTCTATTTTTGTAAAGAATAAGTAATGGTACTTTAATTTCATTCTTCAGATTGTTTACCAGATTATTTAAACTGATTATTTCTTATCTATGCTTCAAAAAACTATGTTTTCTCAAAAATCTTTTTTCTAATGCATTACTTAGATCACTTTTTTAAATATTTAATTTATATAGTTAAGTAGATAATTCATAACAATAATTTGCTCAATAATTTTAATCAAACATCCCAAGGAATAAGGCATAGTTTTGTATAAAATACTCGCACAATATTTTAATTTGTAATATATTCTTTATAAAGTACATATATCATTGGTCAAACTTAGTATATTTTGAGACCAAGTGAAGACAGAAACGGTATATTCTTTACGCGGCACTAATACCTTAAGCATAGAAATCGAAAGTTTATAATTTTAGTTTTATAACAATGGAAATTCACAGTTTATATGCTAATGAGTTAAAAAATTCTAAAAAATATCATTGACAAGCGCATCATTGGAAAAAAAAATGCCGTTGCCACTACAAGCAGTTTTGTCAAACAGAAGATGGTTACAGCCTCCTAGTAACATCCCTCTAAGAGTTGAAAAAAAGAAGACCATTATACCTCTACGAATCGTAGAGTCGGAACTGATCATGGACAGAACTGTTGTTCTTCCTGTCAACCGATTTTTTTTGTTTTGTCTTTGGGGTGCAACTTACTTACATTAGAATTGAGTACAATTATGAGATTATGAATGTACTTTAAAGACAAATCGCACATACTATTTTCAGTTTCAAACCAAGTATTTTAAAAGTCGTTGGTAGTAAAAGTTTCAAAAGTTTGATAAAATATTGTCCAAAGACCAAAACATCATAAATTTATGACTGAAGGGTATAATATAAACATGCTTGCATTAATACATAGCTGCTGTGTGTAAAGCATTTTTCAAACTTTTCTGTCAATGAATAAATAGCGATGCTACTGGTTTTTATTGAAAAATTGAAGCCAGATGAGCTTGGTAGCTTTCTGTAAGGATATGTTATTTTACGTTGTATCTGCTGGCAATAGAATTAATCGGGATATTTCATCTTCTTTTTCGGTGCCTATCTATGGCACCACCTCACAAAACTGCAACATCAACTTTTGATTTTATTAGAGAACTGCAAGCTCTGTTTGTCTGATAGGTCAGATCAACCATCAAACACAAATGTAACACTTACAGTCTTACACCATTGCCAGTTGAGCCCACATGTCAAACAAACTTATGGAAAAAGTTGGTTCTTCGATAAAATCAATACAAATTACATATATTGATACTCAATGCATATAGATATAGATGTTTAAAATCTATAAAGTTCAACTTGAAACACGACCAAAACGATATGCTTTGACATCCAGAGAGTACCAAATCAACGCTGATCTTGTCCCAATTATGGACGCAGAAATTTTACCAAATTAGCACTCTAGCTAATAAGCCATAGTGATAACAGAAACATTTTTGTTTCTACAAGAATCAGTAATATCCGGTAGAAGTTCCATTCCCTTGAGCTTCAGGACCTGCAGGCTCGTAGTATGCTCCAGGACATCGATGATGCTACGAAACTTACTGCAATAGTGTACTGAAAAGCGGACGAGGTTGGAAAAAGCACCGCGCTCGATTCGGAATGCCTCCAGGTTGGTTAGGCTACTGATCTTTAAATATCCCAGCTGAGGAAAGCTGTGCTGTGGACATGGCAAGAGTGCATCATCTTTTAGCTTGAGTTCCCATAGACATGTCAGACTGCCAAGTGTTTTTAATTGATCAGTGCCAATTCTCGAGGCTGACAATGTGATGCTCGTGATGTAATCTGAAAAATATTCGCTTAGAGTCAGGACAGGAGGATGTAGCATGCCTTGGAGATGCAGCTTGCGCAGCGGTGAATGGTGTGCTATTTTGTTAATCACTTCTGAAGAGATTTCTGTGGAAGACAACTTGAATGAGGTGAGAGCCAGCAGCAGCTTCAGAGATTTTACCAGTAGAGGGTATCCATTCCATGCTTTGAGTTCAATTTGTAATTTCCTCAGATCTTTTAATGTTAAAAATTCCATGGCAATCTGATCATTGGAAACTAAGACCCCACAAAACGTTTGTAGATTGGTGAGGCATCTTATACTTGGAGGTTCCATTCCGTTCAGGTACAGATGACGAAGTGTCTTAAGAGCCCAAATGGTATCAGGTAGCTTCTTGACTGATGTCTCTCTTATATCTAGTGTTTGTAGAGATGGGAACTTGCTCTCATTGAACGGGAACGCAACCAACTGGGTGTTTCTTAGGCACAAGTACCTTAAATGAATTAGGCTACTCTGGATGGATCTCAGAGCATCCGTTGGCATCATCAATCCTTCGACTTCAATAACTCTTATATAAGGCATGCTCCAAACTGTTTGCCAGTTGATTCTACACCATCTAAAAATTAGCGGAAAGAATGGTCTGATAACCTGATGGCCAACACAAATGGTTTGAGTTCCCGTTGTTCGTGGGACGATTAACAGAGCTCTCATCTTCTCGAAATCATGCAGATTATAACGTTTATTGGGTCCCGGATGGAGAACCAAACGACGATAGGGTTTCCATCTCCATTTCCGACACTGCTTGGTTGCTATATTCACAATAAAGGAATCTGTTTTCTCTTCCTTCTGATATTGCTAGCTCACGCAATAGAGCATGGACACGCACCCTCGTTGATCGCTGCTTATGTTTCAGAAGAACAGGTTGCACGAGACACCTTTGAATGAGCTCATTTAAATAGTCAGTGGCCGTGTCCTCTTTTCTTCTTCTTCCACTTTGCTGAGGTATAAGATCGTCTCCAATCCATAGCTTTGTCAATTTAGAGATACTGATTTCAGATTCTTCTCTGAAAGCTCCTAGATAAAGAAAACACAGTTTCATACGATAGGGCAAGTCGTCGTAGCTTAAGGCCAATATTTTCAGGCACTGTTTCTCAGCTTCATTGTCGTTCCAGTTCATGCTATTCAGTATGCTGCTCCATACATCGTGTTTCTTTTCCTTGGCTGATAGTAGGCCTCCTAGAACCACAAGTGCAAGAGGTAAACCACCACATTTCTTGCTGAGTTGGCGCCCCAAATCCTCCATCAGTGGTGGATACGACATTGCTTGATTAAGGTTGCTATTTGGGAAAACTTTGGATAGGAAGAGGTGAAAGCTCACCTCATCACTCAAGGGATTCAGCTCATGTGGATATGAAGCAGGGTCGGCAGAAATGGCTATTACCTTGGAGCGAGTTGTCATCAGGATTTTGCTCCCATTTGTCGACATGGGGAAAGCGTCAACCAATTCATGCCATGTTTCTTCTCTCCAGACGTCGTCCAGAACAATCAGGTACCTCTTATCAAGCAGAAAGGTGAACATATGATGTTTTATTTCAGCCACATCACGTGATAGATCCAAATTAGCTCCAATCTGAATAGATATGGTACTGAAGAGGTGGAGAGTATCAGGATCCTGACCAACTGGAACCCAAGCACAGACGTCAAAATGACTTCTTTTGCTGCTGCTTCCTGGATCTGTTGCTTTGGGTGGAGCTTGGCCAGACCAAGTGTTCCTTTCTTCAACTCCACGAGCCTTGTTGAAAACAAGAGATGCAAGGGTTGTCTTGCCTATCCCTCCCATGCCAACTATCACAATCACCTCTCGATGTTCAGTAGGTTGGAGCAGCCTTTCCATGATCATATCAGTGTCTTGTTCAAGACCAAAGATGGTATTGTTGCCTATGTGGTAAGATGAACTCCGCCACCTGACACAGGGTTCAATATTTCGGTTTAAAATTTTGTTCTCCGAGATAGGAATTTATTTTTGGCAAAAATTTCAGATATTTTTTTTAAACTTAGGCCCAATTTGGCATAGCCCCAAATCCAAGATTTTGTGAAGCTGCATATTCCTAGTCTACAACAGGGTTTGCATTTTCGATTTGGCCAAATTTTGGTGACGGTTGGACCGAAATTTTGTGATTTTCGGCACTTTTCGGACCGATTTTTTTTTTAAAATTTTAACAAATTTTGACTAGATATGAATAAAATTTGACCAAATTCAACAAACATTTGAGAAAATCTAAAAATTTTGGTCGATATATTGATTTGTCGGTGGGGTGAGACATTACCGAAATTTCGAACCGAAATTGCAATCACTGGTCTACAAATCCATGCATCTGGATCTACGATTTTGTTTTTACCATTTGAATGAATCAGTTTGTTTCCATTATATATGAAATATAAAATTTTAAAACACTACTCCCTCCGTCCTATACTCCTTCCGTTTCACAATATAAGACTTTCTAGCATTGCCCACAAACATATAGATGTTAATAAATCTAAACACATACATATGTCTAGATTTATTAACATTTAAATGAATGTGGACAATGCTAGAAAGTCTTGCATTATGAAACGGAGGAAGTAATATATAAGGGATTTTGGCTATACAATTGTAGCAAAAATCCCTTATATTATGGGACGGAGGTAGTATAAGTCAACACTGGAAATTCAAATCATGCATGGATATGTGGTCTAGATCTGTGCCAGAGAGGGCCTTAATTTGTTTAGACTTAAAATTTTCCACATGATTTCCTGATCCTTACTTCCTCTGTCTCAAAATAAGTTGATTCGTGGGTTTCCGTATATAACCTTTGACCGTCCGTTTTATTTCAAAAAATTATGGAAAGATTCAAAAAGATAATTCACGTATAAACTATTATTCATGTTTTATCATCTAATAAAAAGAAAAATACTAATAAAAAAAGTTTCATATAAGACGGATGGTCAAAAGTTGGACACGGAAACCACAAATCAATTTACTGCACGAGAATGGAGTATTTTGGGACAGATGGAGTACATCTCGAGAATGGTTTTTGAGCTCCACGACATTGAAAACTGACCTGGAACAGGAGACGAAATGACGACTGATGGGGCTGATGCTGGTCTCTCCAGCTCAATGTCCAAGCTCACGTGCCATGGCAGCATAGCTGGTCCGGCGGTCTACCATGTCACGGATCCTGGACCTGATCTCCTCCACCTTCTGGGCAGACCTGTAACGACTAATCGGATGGAGAACCGAGTTCACGGCAGAGTACCTGTCACCCTGCTGCTGCAGCACCGCGCTCTCGATGAGGTCCTCCGCGTCGTAAGCAACGTCCCTGAGAGAATTAAGCCACCGCCTCGCCGTCGCGTCTTGCCGCAGATCCATGCCGTGGCCTTGAGGAAGCTCTCGAGCGTCTCCCATTCGTCGACCAGCGAGTCCACTCGCTGCTGCGCACCCAACATGGAAGCCAACCCCGACACGGCCATGGTACTTAGCTGATCAACCATTCTGGTCAGGAATTCCTCCATCTCTCTTCTGACACACCCCCAAATGCAGAGAGAGACAATGAGCGAGCAAGACAGTGTAGTAGGTCGCTCTTATCTTCTGATAACTTCAACCATTTCATAAAGAAAATGAAAAGGACTTGCGCTAGTTGTCGATTACCTTGTCTTTTTTTTTTCCCTTTTTCATTTTCATCATACTATCAGTCACTTTTCATTTGGATGGCTCTGATGATTACCTTACGATTCGTGCAGAGATGAAGACCTCCTGACTCCCTGTCCCTCCCGTTCCCAATCCCGCACCGCACGCCGCCACCAGTTGCTCGCCGACGCCCCACGCATCGCCGCCCTCTGCCTCACTGTCGCCGGCAAGGGCCGCCGGCCGCACCCTCCCCTCCTCCTCCGGCCGAGCTCGACTGATGCGACGATTGGACCAGGGGTCGGTGGCCGGCTGGCCGCTGTGGATTGGGAGAAGGTCTCTACGACGGCGGTCAAAATCGAGGGGATTAGCGGCCACGGTCAAGGGCTGGACGTGGCTCAGCTCTCGGGCAGCCGTCTCGGCTAGTCAGCTGTGGTGGACTGGTGGTTGTGTAAATAGTACTCCTACAGTACAGGGGAAAGAAAAAAAAAGCTACTCCAGGACAAAACGACATCCCGGCTGAGTTTAGAGTCTGTTTTGTTTATTTCGATATCATTTTCAACCTTATCAAATTTCGGTAAAATTGTCAGAAAAGTAGCTACATTTAGTTTGCTGTCAAATTTTAGTAGCTATATAAGAAATCATGCCAATTGCCAAAATTTGGTAAGATTTTTTTTTTGGCATCAAAGTGAACAGGCCCTTAGTTCCAAACTTTTTCTTCAAACTTTCAACTTTTCCATCACATCAAAACTTTCCTACATACACAAACTTTCAACTTTTCCATCACATCGTTCCAATTTTAACCAAACTTCTAATTTTAGCGTGAACTAAATACACCCCCGTCCACGGTGGAACAGTTCTGCACTGCACTAGTGCGTTACCCGGTGGAGTTGGCGCACCAACCCGGCCAAATTAAGATGAAACGGGATTCATCACACTATATTATATCTCATCCCAATATAAATTGGTTTATTTTGAGAAGGAAAAATCATCTTTTGCTAGCACCTATTTAAAAAAACAGAAATACTATAGTATACTAGTATTTTGTCTGTACGTGACAACTTAATAACCATACAGCTAGATATCTTATCCACACTAGTACACCATATGTTCTTACCCCCTTACTCTCTGTTCTTCTCCCTATCTCTTTTCCCTCTCCCTCTTGATCATGGATCAGCAGCGGAGAGCATCATCTCTACTCTCTGTCCTTCTCTCTTTCCCCTTTCCCTCTCCGTCATGGATCAGCAGCCAAGAGCGCCATGCAGCCATCGGTCCATATGGTCGTGAAAAAGGAGGACGGGGTGGTAGGTCACATTGCTACTACCGCCGTCCCCAAATGTTCATCTCCAAATGTTCATCTCAAAATGTTTATTTCTAGCGTAATGTTTTATCTTAAAATAAAGCTATTTCTTTACCTACTATTTTCTCTTAACCAATCATAGTCATTCTCCATTTAATTTCTTCACCCATTTTCTCTCCTCAATCAATCACAATCTTCCTCTAATCATTTTTACCTATTTTTAAAACATATGTGTCTATCTCAAAAAATGATAACATTTCTATGCGATTCCCCCATTTTAAAATATAAGGGATTTTGGATGGATGGAGTACTCCACCTTTGTCCATATTCATTATATTAGATTATGTCCTATTCAAGTACTAGGTTGAGTTTTTTTTTGGATAAAGGGAGTACTCATCTATCTAAAATCCTTTATATGTTAGAACGAGGGAATCCCATAAATATTAGCACCTTTTGAGATAGACACATATATTAAAAAATAGGTAAAAATAATTAGAGGAAGATTGTGATTGATCGAGGAGAGAAAATGCGACGGAGAGGGAGTACTCATATATCTTAAATCTCTTATATTTTAGAACGAGGGAATCCCATAAATATTAGCACTTTTTTAGATAGACATATATATTAAAAAATAGGTAAAAATAATTAGAGAAAGATTGTGATTGATCGAGGAGAGAAAATAGGATGAAGTACTTGTTAGTACGTGTACAATGTGTACTATCTCTATGCCTTAATGGATTTTTATCGAAGTTATGCCTAAATCATTGTATCTGGCTTGCATGCGTGTAGCGAGAGAAAATATATATCTTAACATAGAAAACGACTGGATCTTTTATTGTTTTTTTCCCTTGATATAGATCATGTGTGACTATGACCACCGGTACTATTTGAGAGCTACATTAGCGTAGCGTATATAGGACTAGATACCCACATGAGGTACCGGAGTCGGTATTCATGTTTATCGAACCCGATATCCATATCTATCATGTTTGGTATAAGTCTAAAATATTTAACGTCGTTAACTTTTTAAAATATATTTAATAGTTTGTTTTATTAAAAAAAATTTATGAAATATGTAAAACTATATGGGTACGTAGAAAGAAAAAGTTAACTCTTTTTAGGCTGCGTTCGTTCTAGATACATTGAGTTAGAAAGTACATCATTTTCCGCGCGCACGCTTCCCAAACTATTAAACGGTGTATTTTTTGCAAAATTTTTCTATAGAAAAGTTGTTTTAAAAAATCATATTAATCCATTTTAAAATTTATAATAATTTATATTCAATTAATCATGCGTTAATAGTTTATCTCGTTTTACTTACCTTCTCAATGCCTATCCCTCAAACACACGCTTAGTATAGAAACAAGCAACATCGGTATTGTAACAACCAGGTGGCCCCTCGTTGCAACTTGCAAGCCGCCGCCATACCACTGCCAGGTGGTCCCCACCCACACGAACCTACCTGAGACTAACCGCCACAGGGTGCCGCTGGCAGGTGGGCCCCACGGAAGCTTCTAGAATCCCCCGCACCCACCCCCACACCCCACCGGCGGCAAGAACTGAACAGATTCGTGGATATCCTCCCGATCCTACTCCTCCTCCTCCTGGGCAACGCGCTATCGAAGGCACAAGAAGACGAAGTCGTCGACGGCGACGACACGATCGAATCGAATTCGAAGCAAGCAACCGGAGGAGGAGGAGGAGGATCGGAGCAGCAGCTGAGCAGACACAGCCGACGAGGAGGGGATGGGGCAGTGCGCGTGCTTCGGCGGCGGCGGGGCGGAGCGGGAGCGGCGGGCGGAGGCCGAGCTCGCCGAGTCGAAGGAGGCGCGCGCCAAGGCCGCCGAGGCCGCGCAGCGGAGGTAACTACTAGAGTTCTTTCGTCTCCCTCCCCTCTCTCTCTCTCTCCCTTTCTCCCTTCCCCCTCGGCGGAGCTCGGAATCCCCCTGTTCCGGTTGCTTGGAATAGGAAGGAGGAATTTGGTTTGTTCTTCGATCGTTTCTCGTACGTGGTCCGAGCCTGTCAGGAAGAACAGAATGGGGGGAGGAGGAGTAGGTTTCTTGATCCGATGGGGATCGGAGGTGGATTCCTGGGCCATACGAATGCTCTGTTCGGATTATGCCGCCCGCGTTGACCTGGTTTGATTGCGCCTTCTTCTCCTCCTCCAATCGAGCCGCGCGCCCTGTTTGTTTTGGGGGGAGGTTTAGTTTCTCGATACGAACTAGCGGCTCCCTTTTCTTGCCAATAGCGTAATTTGTTGTTCTGTTCTCTGGCTCATTCATATGCCAATCTGTTCAGGCCTAAGTCGATCGGGTTTTGAACCTTGCGGTATTCTTGAAAAACGTCGCCTGGAAATGTAGCCTTTGGGGCCATTTGAATTAGTGGTGTGATTGGGGTTTATGATTTTGCTTATCGAGAATGAACTGACCTCCTGATTTAGAGAACTCGGGGCTTGTTAGGATGGTTCGGTTACAACTACTACCTTTGTTTATGATTCTTCTTTTCTTTGGTTCGAACACCATTTTCTTTTGCGTGGAAAGTAGTATTCATTCACTTTTTGGATCATGTGTACAAATATTTTTGAATTCTTTATTTGATCTGTTGGGGCTTGTTCAAGTACGTAGTGTATGTATGTTTAAAGTTCTACCTTTTGGATCGCTACAAAAGAAAAATAGTTATACCTTTTGGCATGATCTCCCCTGTCCTCATGCTTGTCTTGTCAACTTTCAAGTAGTTTCTTATCATCAAGTTGAATTAACTCCCCCGCAAAAAAAATCAAGTTGAATTAACACAATTCTGCCTTTAGATAAAGATTTTAGTTTGTCAATGCAGCAATGTTGCTATGACTTTTTGTGAAGATATTACTCACACATTTTGGCAGAACACATTTCAATCAAATCATTGACGTCTCGAATTGTAATGCGGCAGACCTATTTGAGTTTTATACTTGACTAGTATTATCTACAGAAGCTTTTATCCTGTGAACACTGAGCAGTTCTTGATTGCTAAACTTATTATCCTGGTAGTTCTACCAAGCATGCCCTTAGAGAGTATGTAGGCTTTCCTCTTATTTGGCGGGTTAGAGCAGGGGCGGACGCAGGACAAAAATGGACTGGGGGCATTTATATGAGAGTTATCCAAGGTTTATTACATACACACCATTTTACTTCATAGTATACTCCATATATATATTGTTTTAGACTATTTTGATTCATCATGTCCACAGAAAAGGTTGTCACCGATGCAAAAGTGAGAAAATGAACTGAAATTATGAGAGTGGGGTCCTTTTTCCCGGGTGTAGTGGGGGCCCATATGTCATACATTAAAATTTGACTGGGGTCCTGGGACCCCACTGCCTATACAGTGGATCTGCCCCTGGGTTAGAGCTGAAGCAAGGAACAAGTGAAGCAGGAAAACATATAGCAAAGGGATGAGAATGATAAACTAGAAGAAATGTATGTTCTTTTGGGGAGATTTTGTGCCATGTGATTTCTCATCATGAAATGTTGTGTTCTGTTTGTTCACTGTTTCATCTTCCGATTTCCTTATATTCTTGAAAACAGTTCATTCGTTCCAATTTCAAACTTATTTCTTCGTTCCAGTTCCAATTCCAATATGCTTGGTTTCTTCGTTCCACATTCCAATTCCAATATGCTTGGTCTCTTTGTAATGCCACAATTCTGGGTATGACACTATGACTTGAGTGGATGGGACCCTCCAAGACTAAAGGCATTGATGAAGTTTGCTTTTTCATCCTTTTAAGATAGATATACTCTTCTTTATCACAATTATTTATTCTGATTCTTGGAATATTTCTTGGCCCAGATATGCTAATGATAGGTTTCATAGGTAGGAAGATACACTTCACTGCACTCAAAAGCCAAAACTTAGAGATAGGTTGTATCTATCATCTCTATTCCCTAAACATGAAGGTTTACTACACATTTGTAGTATCAAATACCAGATTAACTCAAACTGCAGCAGCTTGATCCCAATTTTGACTAATCTTTTTGCTCAACCTGCAGACAGGAGGAGTTTGATAGATCAGCCGCTGGAAGAGCAGCAAAAGCACAGATGAAAGCTATGAAGGAAGCTAAGACATCATCAAACCAAGGAGAACCAGTTCTTAAGGTAAAGTCAGTTCCTAGATTAAAGTAAATGTTTAAACCTGATACCATTCAATTTGTTTGTTGAGAGTATTTATCACTTTAATCTCTTGATTGATGCAGTGGCAGATGGGATCGTAAATTCTTCGTTGGTGTTGACCCTGCATCCTTGGCATGTAAGTCAACTATCTACACAATTCGTTCCGAAGAGCTTCCATTTTCCTATGTGGTGATGTGTGACATCTAGTACTGTAACGCCTAAGCATTTTTTTGTTCATTTTATATGGTTATGTTTTATTATTGAAAAAGGTATGTTCAACCTGTCAAGCAGTTAGTGAAAAGGACTGTTGCAAATTGCAACTTTAGTTTGTGTTCTGGGAACTGGTCTAGAAAGGGGGTCTACTAGGCCACATACAAGGAACAAGTTTCCCTGAGTATTCCTGCAAAATTGCCAGTTATTGCATACACTAAGAAAAGGTGGGTGAAATGGATATCAGTATCAATTTTAAACGCCATTCTAAATTTAATTTAATTTTTTATTTCCATGTGTTTTGATCTATATTTGTTTTTTCTGTCTTATGTCTGTATTTCTTTCTTTTATGCCATGCATGCTTAGTGTTACAATCTCTTCCACGACCTTTTTTTTTTCAGGCTGATAATGGTAGACAAGAGCTTGACAGCTCTTGATTTCAGGGAGGATTCAGCTGAGTCATTTTCTGATGTGTAGTTTTGTGGAAGTGTGAATTCCCTTGTCATGTGCTGCACACACGTTATTCAGATATATTTGTCCAGCTTGTGTGTTTGTTGGAACAGATCATGTACATTTCTGTAGTAGTTTTATATAGTATTTTTTTCTCTCCTTTTGGTACAATCGCTTGGGATTTCGGAGCTTGATTTATTTTCTCCCCCCATGCAAACCATCAGTTCATAGAGAAGTAGAAGAATAGCAACACTACTGGTACTGAATTCTACAGAAATTTGTCAAATCATATCTTGTATAAAGCACCTCCTGCAGATTCATGCAGACATTGGTGAAGCTATAAGCCTATAAGTCTCTGTAAAATAGTTTCAGTTTCTTTTCTGCACAACATCATTTTATCACAGATGATGTTTGGTATGGTACGTACGCGGGAATAAACCCAGGTAACATTCTGCTGTGCCAGAACAACAATTTCTTTGTGGATCCTTCAATGTTTTGTCATATGTTTGCAGCTTGGGCCAGACCTTTGTTACAAATTCTTTCACAAACTGCTGCTCATTGCTTCTTCGGCTCTCACCTGGCATCTATTGTTCATAGGAATAAGTCCACATGTCCTCCCTCAGTTTGCATACCTAAACTGCAATAACAGAAATCTTAAACCATCAACTTGCAAAACCGGGTTAAATTAGGTTCTTTTTTGAGAAGGATGCAACTCATGACGCATACTCATTCACATCACAACAACACACGCTCTTTGGTAGTATAGATGGATGGTTTTGTTGACATGGAAAGTTGACCTGATTCACTCGTGCTAACTAGGTGTTTACGTGGCAAAAACAAAAGTGTGCCTCACATGTCATCCTCACTCTCCCTGCCTCTTCTCTCCCCCTCCTATCCCCCCTCCATCCCTCTTCTCTTTTCCTCATTATCCTCTGACATTGGCAACATTAGTGGTGGCATTGGCTGGTGCCCTTGGCAACGTTCCTCCACTCTGCTTATCCACGGCCCTGCGCCCTCAGGAGCCCTATATATCCCAGACAACGGCACTGATCCTAAACGTCGCCGTCCCCCTGGTGAGGTCCTAGCTCCGCCTTGACCCTCCTAGCCATGGTCGTGGCGCTCCTCCTCCATGCAACATCTCTAGGACCGCATAGATCGAGAGCTAGGAGGTTGTGATATGAATGCGAGGTTGCTATCGGTGCCAGCGATGAGTGGCTCACCATCGCCCCAATCCATCCTTCCTCCCATCGGTCTCTCCACGCCATCGACGCTACCGTAGAATGGAGAGGGGAGAAATAAAGAGAGAAGAGAGGAGAAGGGCGAGTTGGGTAGCGCAAACAGCTTGGGACAAGAACTAAGGCATGACGATGGCACCACCGCTCAAGCTCAAGTTCTACCACCACCGTTGCAGTGCCCCCTTCCCATCCTCCCGACACGACCAGGCGATGGTGGCAGACGCACCTCCTAGCGGCCCCATCCTCACCTGCTCTCTCCTTTTCTATCGGCGCAGACAGTCACAGCCCCCATCCTCTCTATCCGCAACTGCCACCACTGCCTTCTTGTGAACAGCTGGAGAGCTCGACTCCCTCACCATATTAGAGTTGCAAACCATCAATATTTTCTCTAGCAACAATGCTATTAACATTAGCGTTCAAAGGCGAGTAAAAAAATTATACAACCACATTACATAATCAAGAAATTAAATAATAATTTCATAGAACTAGACTAGAAAAATACTTAAGATGTGAAAGGAAATTTATGCTATGATTTAGTAGTCGTTGAGACTTATATTGCTCATAGTTTTAGGCTCAATCAATGGATTTTTTTTCACCTACAGGTTGGTGGGTACGGGTGGGTAAAGAGCGGACCCATACCCGCATACCAATAGGTAAGAGTTTTCACCCATCAGTAGACCCATGGTTATAAGAGTTAGAACACGATTAGCTCCTAATAGAGTAAAAACCCGTCGGGTCTCGAGTTATGGGTTCCCATTGCCATATCTAGCGGTGGATGGTGAGGAGCGCCGGTCGGTGGAGCCTGGTGACGAGGATGGCAATGGGCGCCGGCAGCGCCCCCTAATCCTCCACTTTATGCCTGCCGCGAGCTTGAGCTTGTGTTAACAGCGAAATTTTGTAAGCCCCTAAGAGAATTATCATGTCGCCAATAGTCGGATTCCTGCTATATTCGGTTAAGGAAATTAATCTATTAAAGGAAGCTCATCCAGAAGTGACCGAGTTCAAGGAGGATGCGGCATTGCAGTTTATCTATTAATTAGGCTGTATTTGTTAGTTTCCTTTTATCTTTAGGAAAGTGTGATTAGTGTCCCATAAGGACTTTATATTTTCCTTTTATCTTTTAGGGAAGTCCTACAAGGACTAGTATCTCCCCACGGGTATAAATATGTGCACTCTGGGTCATTGTAAAAAATCTCCACGATCAATACAATTCGGCGCATCGCCACCTTTTACCTTTTCTACTTTATTTTATCGTTCGACGGGACTTGGCACCTGACGCGGGGCTGCATCGGTGTTCGATCTCCGGTGAAGGGGTAAGTCCAATGCTCCACCGGCCCTTGCAATTATATTGGCTTCATCGGCGTCGTTAAGGCTACATCAGTACATTCGACCTCTTGGATTGCTTTGGTTCAGTTGATATATTTGCTTGCCTATTTATCATATGTCCCTATTAATCTAGTTTTAGTATATCAATTTAGCTCTATCGACTCCTTCTCATTTTAGGGCTTCTACCGGTATCGGCTAAATCATGTTGTTAGATTAGATTAGCTTAGACATCTACCACCCTGAAAATTTAGTCAAGGGCTTGATTGTCTAGATATTATGTTTCTTTTCATACTTAGTGCTGCATTAGTTAAGTTTGATATACTAAGTCGTGCTTAGAGCCATAATCTCTAGCCTGCTTGTTGACTGCCAATAAGGGTTTCATCGGGGTTTCAGCCGATGAGTTATCTGAACATTGCATCGGCTTACAAGGATTGCATATAAGTTGGATTTAGCCAATGATAACAAAGACTTTACTGTTTAATCTAATCTTGTGGATTTTATGACATCAGACCTCCAGCCGATGTATGCTTTAACCTTCGGATCAATGCCTATTCTATCATGTCATTGTTAGCTGATTGGTTTCTACTAAATTATATTGTTGCTTTCTTGCATTATCATCAGCTGATTGCCTTTATATTGTTATTTACATCAAGCGTTAGAATCTACATCAGAATTATGGCTGTTATCGAATGGCCAACTGCGTCACGTCGAAAGGCGTGGTTCTCTCAACAGTTGTTGGAAAAGAAAGACGATTGTATTACTTAGTAAAATTTTTCTTGGATCCCCCTATTACATGGTCTAGAGGGGCTATTTATAATCCTATTACAGGTTCTCTCCCCTAGGGTTTTGGCTTTACAGGGGAATTTACATGGTTACCCTTATGATAGGGACGTTGTTAGGGGTACACAGTGTCCTTTACATGTATAGGCCCTAATTGGGCTAAACGGCTTGGCCCATTTATCTGGCGAATCCCCCCGGGGACACAACGGCCCGTTGGGCCTCCTCACGGTGTGATTTGGTACTTGGCGAAACCCATGCCTTCGGGCCGCCTCACCATCTTCGCCCACGTGACCCCCTGACAGGGCCCTTGGTCGGCGAAGCACGTGTACTCCCAAGCCATGGCTTTCGTCCTTGGGGTTTTCCTCTTCGACCTTCGCCGCTCGCCTCCGGTCTGAGCCTGTTGCCCAAGCTTTCGGTTTCGGCAGGTCCGGCCGAAGGCCCTTTGCGGTATACCTCCAACAAGCCCCTCACGGGCAAGGGTGAGTAGGGAGCTTCGGCCGAGACCGTGCAAATCGTATGGTATACCGTGAGGCGCCCCCTTTCGGCTGATGTTCCTGCCGAAACCTAAGTTTGTGTGCCTGCAAAGTAAATAAATTGCTCTCATGTTAACAAAAAATTCTTGAGGAGAATCTCCTTCCTGAGTTCGCCAGAGAGTGTCGAAGAGGATAGCTTGCTCTTTATACCACTGTGAATAGTAATTATGGCCGATAGCTCAAAACCCTATCGCTATCGGCTGGTATCGGCATCGGCTAGAATTACTCCATCCGATCGGTTATTTGATCTATTGTTTATATGTTGTCAGTTGCAGGATCAAACTGACTGGCACGCCCGCATCTCATCAACCTTTGGACCTGCACTGGAGCTAAGCAGATCTCCCAGGCCAGTGTGTGTTTTTCGCATCAACAGCTTGTCAACCAGTTAGCGGGAAGATGACAGTGGCGGCCGACGAGGACATTTCAGAGTAGAGGAGGGACGTCGGGTGTGGAGTAGGAGGTGGAGAGGGCGAGGAGCTTGCCCACCGCCGCACCGCTCGCCACCAGCGCTCCGCCCACCTACTGGCTTCGCCTGCCGCCGCCTGCTCCGCCTGCTTGCCGACTTCGTGCGCCGCCGCTTCGCCCGCTCGGCTCCACTGGTCTGCTCCACCCGCCACCGATGCTCCGCCCGCCTGTCGACTTCACCCGTGTGTCGCCCCGCCTGCTCTGGTCGGCCCTGCTCCTGGCGAAGTGGTGAGTTGGCATGGGAGAGAGAGGAGGGGAGGGTGATGGTGACATGTGGGGCCATGTGGGGCCTACTATCTATTATTATTTTGTGTCTGACTGTGTGTAATTGGCACGTAGGTCCCATAGTTTTAATTTCTTTTCCAGGTCAAATTGCCACGTGAACGCCATGTTAATGCCACGTTAGACAAAGATCTAGTCAAAAGGAGCCACGTAGGCGCCACATCTGCCAAAACCGAGACAATACCTCCGATGGACCTCGTTTGTCTGGTTTTGTAAGTCGGGGGGATACATTGTATCTGATTTTGCGGTCGAGGGATGAATTTTAGACTCGGCTACAAATTGAGGGACCTAATTGAATTTATTACTAAAGATCATGACAGAAAAAAAAAGTGCAAACAATGGGAGAGGGCCAGTGAAGGAAAATGTCCATGCATTCAGCCGAAAAAAAAAAATCAACGAATGCAGCCCATGTGCTGAAATACAGAATGGGTAAGAAAAAAAATCAACATATTAAAAATGTAGCATATAGAAAAAAATTAGCAGGTGCATCTTAGCAACATGATACAATAATAAATTGTAAAATAACTAGCCAATTTTGCTACATACCAAAAAGAACTAAAGTTCTATCGATTGTTGATAAACAATAATATGAGCACAAGTACCATTATTTTTACATAGGTATTTCCAACTTTTTAATTGTATGAATAATTATTTTCATCACACCACTACAGATCTGGTATATAGTGTCTTGTAATATGTACTACTTTCGTTTTTTTTAATAGATGATGTTGTTGACTTTTAGACACACGTTTGACCATTCATTTTATTTAAAAATTTCATGCAAAGGCAAGAGATATAAATCATACTTAAAATATTTTTAGTGATAAAACTACCAACAGCAAAATAAACGATACTCCCTCCTTCCCAAATTAATCATAAGTTTATGCATAAGACCAAGGATAATTTAAATCACATCAATCAAAACACCATGCACATATTCTCCCATAATGTATGCATCGATTAAAACCCTATGCCAATTACACCTTAGCATGCACACATTCCCCTATACTGCATTAATTGTATTCTGATGAAATCCATGTCCATGCAGTTATATGATGATCAATTTGAGAAATTTTGTATTCTATTACATGATGATCATTTTAGAAATGAGGGAGTAACTACATAATTTATTGAATAAGACGAATAGTCAAATGTGTAATTAAAAGTTGACGGCATTATATATTAAAAAAATAAAGAGAGTACTTGACAACGAGAGACAAAGCAATCCTCTTTTTTTTTATATAAATAAAAGTATACTTACTACTGTATTGAGAGAAAGGATAAAAGAAATGGTTGGCCCAGTATACTAGTGAACGTGAACATGAGACTTCGGTTAGCTTTTGCTTGCACTAGAGGCTGGGGCGCGCCATTGCGCGCCGCCTGCACGGATTAAAACGACAATCAGTCGGTAAATAGATGAGGAAAATCTACGATAATTTGATAAGTGACATCATAGATTACAGTTCAACTCTTGTGGATATCAATATCATCGTAATTAGTATTGCCTCTTCCGTGGTAAATATCCTACTACAGATGGACACTTTATTATCAACGTAGAGCATCTCTGATTCTCTGTTGAAATTTCGGTTCGTTACAGACTCTTGGTTCACATGAATATACAATGTTTTCATTACATAATAACCCAAAATTAATAGAAAAATAATCCCTTGTACATATTGCTATACACTTTGGGTTTTTGCAAATAGGACAACTGAAGAATAATGGGCCCAACTTTTCAAGATTACATTCAGCATCCCATCATATTCTGAAGAATCCAAACATGTTGGAATGTAAATAAGTACATGAAAGCATACGTTAGCCAAAGAAATCATATATTGAGAAGCACCTGTAGATACATGCCACACCCTAATAAAACCTTACCGCACTGTGTTCTTTGCTCCATGTTCCCAACCCCTCTCCCTCATTTTTCTCTCCCTCATTTTTCACGCGCACGCTTTTCAAGCTGCTAAACGGTGCATTTTTTTAAAAAAGTTTATATACGAAAGTTGCTTAAAAAAATCATATTGATCCATTTTTGAAAAAAAAAGCAAATACTTAATTAATCACGTGTTAATAGACCGTTCCGTTTTCCGTGCCGGAGGGTTGGGCTCCCAACCCAGGGGAACGAACGCAGCCTTAAGTGCCTGAGCACACGGAAAAACTGTTAATAGGTCAATCAGTGTTAGTGGAACACCAAAATTCCATTGATGTTTATTTACTCAGCTAGTAATATATATCATGCAAAATCACATTCAACACATCAACCAGAAAATATGATTTTTACCATTTAAGTAATGTCATTCAATCCTGCTACCCATCTATCCTCACAGCTGCAGTTGTAGCCATACAAGATAACAGTAAATTATAAGTGGAAGCAAAGCTGTAGAGAATAGCTATTGTGCCATTCATGCAATAATTAATATTAGGACATCTCGAACTGAAAGTGAGAAAAGCATGAATATGTCAATGACTAATCAATCACCAGAGGTCCCCCATCTTACAGATATAGAGAGTAGTGGTGGTGATGGTAGTAGTCTATAATGAATAATATTGTAAATGATTAAATCATTTTGTTAGCTACTTATCTGTATATGCATGTGTCTATTTAGGTTTGGGGATACCTTTTCTTTCTAGTTTACAACTTGAACTATATTTAATTTAGATCCATTGCAACGAGCAGGCACCATTGAATCTCTTTTCTAATGTAACAGAATGTTATGCCCAATTTTATTTTCCCTTGTTCCATCTGGTCCAATCGTACTCTTATATGGTTTCAACGAACCTGAAAAAAGTGGTACACAGTCAATTAACATATAGAGTAAAACATCTAACTATAAATATTTGCAGAGGAAATGCATAGAGCAAACCACAAACATTGATAACCACCATCTTATCAAAGAATCGAGGTTGCAAAACACTGACGCATTATATATCATAAACAGGTTCCAAGGCTGTATTAATATGAGAGCTGCATAATCCAATATGAGATATTTAAAAATCACTTAAATATGGATTAAAAAGAAATTAAGCATTGTAGAAAAACATGGATCTTTAAATGCCACATTTCTATAACTCAGAATGAAGTTTAGAATAAAGGTGAGACCATTGTCAGATTTATTGGGACTACAGACAACTTCAACTGTTAGAGAACCTAACTATTTTACTTTGCTTCAAGAAGGGCGGCCACTACTAATGCCTTATTCATAAATTCTGGAAATACTTGAACATTAGATACATAAGACCATAAGGTGCAACCAGATCCCTTTTTTTCCTCTTATATAATTCCAACTATCTAAGGAGTTTTTCAAAGGAGACATATGATTGTGAAATGCATTAAACTTGTATACAGTAAACTTATTTAGCAGTACATGAGTACATGACCAGGCAAAATATGGAAAGAAAAAAATAGAAGGTATGGAGAAATCATCAGATAGGATATATCTACTGAACTATTGCACTACAGGGCAATACATATATGTTTTTGCTGTTATTAGAAGCATGCAATTCTTGAGTTTGGGGATTGTTTTGGCATAGAGGAGGTCGATGACATACAGTAGTAGGTGATTACTAATATATCAGTTGATGCCTTCCCAGAAGTAACATCAACATATATTGAACAACACGCACGAAAAATAATTCCAGCATATGTGTCAACCTGATGAAGGAGAAGGAGCATAGCAAAGACCAAGCCAGTGCCTTTGGATGATGGCAGCTGCTGGACTTGGAAACCTGGGCAACACCAGCCACTAAACCAACCAGGCATCACAATTAACCAGCAAAACTTGGGAGCGCTGTTGGGCACTCTGCTTAACAGGGAGATGTGGAGCAGAACAATACATGACCTAGATAAATGGAAATAAAAAATGATCACTTAAACAACACACATAACATTAATATGCTTTTTAGTGAGTAGACAAATCATATGAACAAATAGATGTAGAATTACAGTAAGAAAAACATGCTTCTTTTCAATCTGTAAATTATGTGCGCTGAGTATATTAAGTAGAACATTGAAAGGTGCCAAGAACAAACCCGGGTGGTGTGCCTCCTAGATTGGCCGCCCACTTCCTCTGCCTCTTGTCGTTGTCTCTGCTGCCATGCCATGCTAGTCTGCCAGGGTCCGCCGCCGCAATGCCCTGGCCATCCCCATCGACCTTGGCTCCAGATCTGCCACCATCCTCAGATACTCTTCTTTCCACCATGCCATTCGCTACCTGCATCTAATGCCGCTGCTCATGAATTTTCCATGTGAAAGACTAACCATGACTTATACCTTAGTAACATCTTACTTAAATCAAGCATAGTATCAGCTTACTAAAACCGTAAAAGAAAAAATGAAAGTAAGAAAAAATCTCGAGTGAAACAAGACAATCCCATGGATGTAATTTTTCAACTGGCAAGCAAAATTTACCCAGGTAACAATACGCTAATATGTATGAACTATCAATTCCTGACCTAAACAATTACCAGTACTACAGGATTAAATGTGAAAATTGGGACTGGCAAACATGATAGCTTAAAAAAATTCAAAGCAATGCCCTATGGAAATGTCAGGATATCAGAAAAATGAACCAATAGATAATGTCACACCATTGGGAAAAAAATTATCATTGGCAACTCCGTTGTGATTTAAATAGTAGAAAAATGCAATCTTGGCACTATCTACAAAATAACTCTTCCTCTTCAGCACAAAAGCACAATATGTAAACTAATGCTCTACTATTGATAGTTTTAACTGCAGCGAAATTCATCAGTACATTGATCAGTGTATTTTTTTATGTTAATAGCACCATGTTTCTGGGAGCACACAGTTCAGGAAGCAAAGTTACAAAGCATAGTAAGCAGATATAAGGATAGACCTCACTGCTTTCCCTTTCCCACTGCAGGTTTGCCTTGCTAAGCAGAGCCTAAAACTCTACCAATGTTAAGTGAAAGGGAGGAGCTAAATATGAAGGTAAACAATAAGGAAGTAGCATTATTTACTGGGACACAATAGAGTTTACAGATGATTCTTCTTTTTTGTCTGTAATACAACCATTATGCTCATCCTACAATGAAAACCAAAGTTATAGGACAGGCAGAATAGAAGTAACTATTGACGAGCTATAGGAAAAGAGAACTGAAAAGCAGGAACAGTGCATCTCCTGAAATGCAAGTAGGAGTTAATTACATTGGATAGCTGTTAATTGATGACCCTTAGATATATTAGTGGAATGAGTAAGCATGTTAAAGGTGAAAGCTGTAGTTTTGAAATATTTAGTATTACAGGTAAGCACTTAGTCATCAGTTAACAATTGGAGAAAAGCAGGCAATGCTTGAAAAATAATCTCTGAAGGAGAATACATGAATACAATTTCTCGAGCAATTTTACTACTACAACGCGTGATAGGTGAGCATTGACCATTAACCAGAGAGAAGCCGCAACCCATTTGCTACAGGTATTAGATATTGCTTGAGTGTGAAAAGTACTATCCCAGAAACCATAAGTACCTCAAGATCAGGACAGCGGTAGAATAAGGGATCTCGAGCATTGACTACCACCACCAGCTTCATGGAAGAAAAGAGAATAAAAGTAAGTATATTAGGAACTAAAAATAATCCGAAGAGGTTCTACTCTTTAATCCAGTAAAAACAAATACGATTGAGCACAGCAGAGTAGCACTTCCAGGGGAAAAAAATGCAATAACACTATGGAACATTGAAAGCAAAGTCAATATGTGAGACAAAATTTGCAAAGCATTACCTTTAAAAATGCATGTCCTACTTATTTTTTTGGAGAAATGCTTGGTTTTAGTATCATAAGTACTGGCAAGCAATCAACCAGAAGAGCGATGGGTGAAACTAATAGTGAAGGTTGAGCATTACTCACCAGATAACGTTCAAGGACTCTCCAGAGCTGTCTCCAGAGGACTCATGATCAACTCAGCTACTCAGATATCAAACAGAAATGTTCAAGAGAAAGCTCATCCTCGCGTTAGTCTTATCTTGTACCATAACCAGATTATACAAGATAATAAGAAATGCTGATAGTTGGATATCAGTCCCAAGGTCCCAAACACGCTTTTGCAAGTGAATCCATTTCACTATGAATTTCCAAGCATAACGAATAAGCTACAACTCGGTCATATAGCACTAACTCAGATGAAATTTCATATATGAGGTGGTTCAACTAACTAAATAGAACTAGAAATATTGTCTCCGCAAAACTATTATGTCACTTAATCATGTCGAAAGAAAGGCAAGCAAAAAATAGATATGAAACATAGACTTGAATTGAACCCATTTCAATTGATGTACCTCCATATGGCACAAGACAGAAATTAGCCATCACGTGTAGATAGGCTAAGGGCCTCATCGTTTGGCTTTTTTCGTAATAAGCCAAAACAGCTTATTAGAGAATAAAAATGAATTTGTAGGTAAAACTTTTATATATGTGTTCTCGGTGACGTAAAAGCCAATGCTGAAAAAGAAACTACGTTGAAAATATCACAAAATCAATGTCAAAATTAAGTTTGAAAATTCAAATTTTGGCTTTTTCTTTGGTTGAATAAGCCATCCGATGGGAACCTAAATATAGAATGAGCATTGTATTATATATATCCTATAACGACAATGCCAATATTTATCTACGATCATATGGGAAAAAAATCAATCTTTCGCATAAATTGAGGAAGAGTAAGAATGCATGTGATGTCAACACTTATAATAGAAAAATATAAATGAGGTGCTTTTAGAGCAATTTATGTATTACAAATGGAATAGTATATAGCTCTGTCCTCTACCTGAACTAACCAAATTAAATACATAATTTTGCAAAAGAATCGTAAGAAATTCCAGCAGACTATATACACTTTCTAAATGTGCCAATCAACTGAAGACTTCTCCCAAAATAAAAAAGAGGAAATACAACCATTAACCAGCATCAACCACGACACATGGATTGTGCAGAAAACAAAGTGGGAGGAAGCGAAAAATATTTCACAGATAAGGGTCACTGAAATGAAACAAATTAATGGTGAGCCCAAACATTCATAGATAAATGGAAAATCCATAAATCAATGGCTAAATATCGTAAGTTCAGAACAGAAGATGGTTGTTAGAATCAAACTAAAGATATATGGTCTCTTCAGAATTGTCTGCCATGGTGTCATTATTTTTTTTAACCAAGCAATGACTGATTTAGGCAAATTAGAAGCAGTTGCCTTAGCAATTTCACTATAAAACAACAATTTACTATTGCACATAAAGAAAAGACCCCTTTTCTGTTCCTACATATTTGCTCAAGAAAGGAGTAATATAAATACATATTGAGTGAATTACACCTATAGAAACACTCTAAAACTAAAGAATGACATATAAGTTAACAATTAGAGAAAATCAGGCAACGCCTGAAAAATAATGAGGTAGCTCATACCCTCACAGTCCTCACTTGCCCCCAACTCCACTTTATCTCATCCTCTGTCAGCCATAGAAGCAGAGAACAGGAGGGAGAATATCAGCCTCCCAGCTCCAAGCTCATGCATCCTAGCTTGCCCAGTAGCCTGCCGACGGTGGCCTGCCCCATGCAGCAAGCAAAAAGTCTTTTAGTTACTTTTTTATGCACTATGTGGAAACATATTCAGCCAAGCTTCAAGAGTTTCAAACAAATCAAACGAAGCATTGTACAAAATAGTTATTACAGTTGAAGGAACCAATAAACATAAAATAGAAACCAGTACCAAACAAACTGTGTCAAATCACAAATCTTGGACTCTGCTCTTGCAATGAACAGTGCAATATAAAATAAACTGGAACATACACAGCGATTCCGTCGTACTATAGGATATGCATTTTGAGTAGATTCTTACTTTGAACGAAGTCAGCCGCACAGCAAAGGTCCTTAAATATACAAAGATAATCTCTAGTTGGTAACACCAGGCTTTCAAATCCAGGAGCCTGTAATCAAACACAAAATTTCAGTTATGTGACCAAGAACTGGTAGTTGTTTGAACATTCTCTCATGAGCAGCAGTTACAAACATAGATATGTAAAGTTAGGGAAATTTGCACATAAATTGTAAATTACATAAAAACAGCACCAGCCTGAGTAGGCAACATGCAAAGATAGATCAAATATACAGTTGCATGTAAAACAAGCAAATTGTATTGCACGAACATTTCAATACCTAATCAGCATTTTTTTCTGAACTGAAACATTGGTTCATATAACCTTGTCATTTAGATTAACCACGAGGAGTTTACATATCAATAACCTTTGGCTCTTTAATCTACCTTAATTATCACAGCCAGGTAATAACAATGTACTAACAAACAACGATTTGCTGAACCATCAGCGAAATAAAAATATATTGAGTAATTTTCTCAAACCATTGATCATATCGGTGGACATCTATATGGCAAACAGTGACACCTTCAGTAATTGCTCTATTCACATTGCAGTATTGCACCACTGAGACCATTGGAACTTGATTGCGCTATATGCACAACGTATTTTACAACAAGGCCATGTGCGCCTCACTGATATCAGAGCAACCAACAAATAATAAGCAGGAGCAATACATGCAGAAAGGAATTAATAAACAAATGCTGCAATACTTGCTTGACAGAACTTCTTCATATTATTCAGCCCACATATTGGTCAAATAGTGGAACGATTTGGTTGTGTGACTACCTCTTACAGGCACATGGGAACCAGCCTCTCGTAGGATTTGTTCAGTTCACGACACTGCAAACTAAGGTCTTGGGGAATGGAATGGCACCGAGCAGAAGATGCTGATCGAACCAAAAGAAAAATACACAATCAGAGCACAACAAACTAAAACTCCAAATGAATCAAAACATCAAGATTGTAGGAAAAGTAGTAGCTCCCCAACATCAATACTGGATCCACGCGCTGATGAAGTTGGTGGAGGCGCGACCATCGGCCACCACGTGCTGCCTGGTGGTGTTTTCAACAACAAATCCGCAGGCGAACTGATCACCTGGACAGCTCTTTGGTGCCACCATTGCCGCTCAGTGTAGGAGCCAGCTTGTCCACTGGCTTCAAAGCTTGAGGATGATGCAAGCAGGGAGAATAAGAATGGGGTAAAAAGAACTGAGCAGGGAAGACGAGATCGTGGTTGGCTCACCGTCAAGGCCGTCACTTGATCTACAGCCTCCGGCGCACACCGCCTCCATCTGCCCTTGCCGGTGGGGGGAGGAGAAGAGGGGCTCCATCGATGTGTACTTGATCCGCCGCAAAGGACGGAGTGCAATCCGTGTCATCGCCGAGGTCGACACCGTTGCCCGATCTGCCGAGGCAGGCGCAGCACCAGGTCAGATATTGTCGAAGGCGGTAGCCAGAGCTCTCAATCTCGACTTCTTGGAGTTGCCCACTGCCACATTGCTTGCGCCGATCTCATCTCGCCGGCATGAGTGGCGCACGGGAGGATTGAGGAGACCAGGGGACACGACGACGGCAGTCGACGGTGGTTCCTGGAGCCCATGCGACGGCGACGACGGCTTACGAATCGCCCAGGTGGGAGAGGGAGGGGCAAGAGGAGGGGATGCGGGCTGCGGCGGCGCTTCTCCACCATACAGCCGCCGGCATGCCTCTCCCCTCTTTATTGCTGCTGCCGCCTCTCCCTCCTCAAATCGACGGACAACCGTTCTGTAGCTTAGCCCACGAGGTTGCGGCAATGGCGGCCGGCTCCACCCGAGGTCGACCGCTCACAGCGGTCTTTGGCGGTGAAGGACGGAGGTGCGGCGGAGGATGCAACGGTGACGCTCGGCGATGGCGACGATAGCGGAGGACGACGCTGCGGCGGTCAGATCCGCGTCCCCCAAACACATGACGGTCGGCAGCGGCGGCGTGAGCCGGAGGTGGCGCACCCGGCAACGGCCACGCGAGGCAGAAGGGAAGGCAGAGGAGGCAGAGGCGGAGGTGGCGGCGCGAGGGGGAGGTAGAGGTGGAGGCGGAGGCGGCGGCGCTCGGTAACGGGGACGACGATGGTGACAGCGCGATGCGGAGGTGGCAGCGCGATGGGGAGGCGGAGGAGACGCGAGGTGGCGGCAGCGGTAGAGGGAGCGAGAGAGACGAGAGGGAGAGCGGGCGGCGGCGGCTACCGGCTAGGATTTGAGGGGGGTGTGGGTTAGTGGGCGGAGTTTTGCGAAAAAACCCCTCTTCCGCATTTTAGAGCGCAGTTCTTATTTGCGATTTTTCTCTCCTTCCGTGCAATATCCAAATTTCCAAAGGGCCTATACGTAGAGTACCACCTCACAGAAACGGTTCGTGAGGGGCTTAGACCTAATTACTTACAAACTGGAGGGTTTTTTTTGGCAAAATTCCACCGCCCCCACGCACTCAGCGCTCGCCCCTTCCGCGCGCCTTTATAATTAGGAAACCTATAAAGCTTGGCACCCTGGGCGGCTTCTGGGGCGAACCACGTCGGATTTACTGTAGCAAAGTTACTCTACTCGCGGTGAAAATTTGCAAAATAACCCTCCTATTTGTGCGTAATTCAATAGAGGTCCCCCGCGAAAAGTTCCTATGACGTGTAAATTCACGGATAGGCCCTTGCAAAAGTCAGATATTGCATGAGAAGGAGAGAAAATTCATGAATTAGGACTGCGCTCTAAAACATGGAAGCCGAGGGGTTTTTAGCTAAACGACGCCCTAACCCACTCACCCCTAACCCTAGCCGCCGCTGCCTCGTGCCGCCTCCGCCTCCCCCTCCCGCTCGTGCCGTCCTCGACGACACCCTCCACCTGGTGCACGCGCGCGGGGACGGCGGGCGGAGGGAGGGACGGCGCCGCTCGGGAGAGGGAGCAGGAGCGCGCGCGTCGCCGGTGGCCGAGCCAAGCCGAGCTGCGTCGCGGTGGTGCTCTCCGCGGGAGGCGAGATTCAGCCCTGATCCGAGGAAGGTGAGGGGAATTCTTCGTCGGGGGTGGGTTTGGTGCAATCTGTGGTGTGAGATACGGGGGATGAAGAAGGCTTTCGGGGTTTGGGATGTCGCGGGGATTTAGGGGCGGTGGGTGGTTTTCGGCTGGGAAATCGCGGATTTAGCCGCCGCCCCCCTCCTCCCTCTCGTCTCTCCCTCTCCCGCCGCCTCCGCCTCCGCCTCCCGTCGCGCCGCCGCCTCCGTTTCCGCCTTCCGCTCGCGCCGCCGCCGCCGGTCCACCCTCCGCCCTCCGCCGCCTCCGTTGCCAACCGCCACCGTCCTTGCCGCCGCCGTCGCCTCCGCCTCGCGTAGTCGTCACCGTCGCCGGCCACCCCCTTCATCAGCCCCAGACCACCGGATCCGCCCCATCCTCCCCATCCCTGTCCTGTGTCTTCCCAGTTGGGGGTTAGGGGTCGCCGCTTCCCCGACGGCCACGACATGGAGGTGGATTCGAGCGTGTGGGGGCAGCGTCGGGGCTGCGCGTCGAGGAGAAGTGTAGCAGCGGCGGCGGAACATGATGGGGGTGGCCGTCGCCGCCGCCCAGCCCGCCGTTGCCGAGGTCTACCTCCGCCTCCGAAACCAAACCCCTTTGCCGAGGTCTACCTCCGCCTCCGCCCTCCGCTCCTTGCGCCTCTCTTGTTTAATTTGTCCACAATCTCCAGTACAATTCCTCTTCTGGATTTTGCATTGCCTTTTTTTTTTCTAGGGTCTTTCTCTCCTTAGGCCAATATTAGACTGATTCGGTGGTTTCTTCGGTTTTAGTAATCTAGGGTTTGACGGTGAATAGAGGTTCAAATTTGGGCGTTTTCCCAATCTATAATCTTTGAGTTATTCCAGGTCTGATAATCTAGAGTTTTGATGCCTTTTCTTACCAACGATTTCAATGGATCTCAAGGGGATAATACAGGGTTTGATCAGTTCATGGGAAATACCACCTCTGTTTCATCACAAAGTTATTTTGATGCATCGTGTTTCACTGATTCTGGCTTGACGTATGTGTGGATTCATTGTGCAGTACTACAATGCAAGAAGCACAGAAATAGTTGAGGCAGGGGAAGCTTTGGGAATGCACTGATATGCCACTAATTGCTTACACACCGAGGAGCTTCTCAGCATTTGCCAAATTTGGCTTGCCAAGACAGATGCTCGTAGCTAACTATCTATTGAAACACTTGAGTTATTTTTGTATTTCTCTACATGTTTAATAATAAAGCCATTTGATTCCTACTGTTATCGATAACCTCCGCTACCTTTGCATATCCAACAAGCCATTAGACGTTGATTTGCTTTGATTATTCCCAGCTAAGTCTAACAAATGGGCTACTAGCTTGAAGAGATGGTCATCATGCAGCACTCCTTCATGATGTGCACTTTGTTATGTTTATTTTCTTGCAAGAACCTAACTTTTGATCCAACCATCTTTTCCATCAACAACAGCTGGCTATTACAATGTTATATGGGAATAATCTATCCCAAAGGCCATGAAGTTTCTAGAATGCACAACACATTGTTTAAATCTTGATTTAGTAATTCAAATTTGATAGTATAAGTAGTCTTATGTTTTATGTAAGATACAGACACTAGGTTATGTTTTCTTGTTAGGCCAAAGGGATAATGGTCATGTACCATGCAATATATCTGCTCCCAATATGTTCTCTGTTCTCTTTTCTAGAGGACAGTCTGTTTTCTTTGTCTATTTGATCAATGGAAGCTCATCTTTTCTGTAGGTCATGGGCATCTATTTTCATAGGCATGGAAGTAAAAATTTTACCTGTGAAGAGTTTTGTGCACCCATGTGTGGTGCAGGTAGGCCTCTTAACCTCCTATTTCTTTTTGAAAGGCAGTAACGATTATCATGTCTTTATTTATTTGGCCTTTTTTTTGAATCAACCATAGCATCATGTCTTTATTTACTTGGCCTTCTTGTGAATCTACCGGTGCATGGGTTTTTTCCATGTATATTTAATCATGCTGTCATGTTTAAATACCTCACTATCTAGGTTAAGATTTTGCGACATGAGGAAAGTATGGCAGTAAACTAAATGCTCGCAAAGTCAGTCGTGATGTTTTGCCAAAGATGTAAAGCAAGGCCATGAATTATACATATTATACTTTCCTTATGTACTATTATTACAGCAGAAATACATCAATGTCGGGTAGCACACTGAAATTATGCGCCAGAATTTCTTTTTCTGTTAGTCATATTTTCTCCTGATGTTACAGCTAAGGTCATGTCACAGCACCTTGTGACATCTTAATATGGAGTTAGTTAATATTTGTAGTTGTGAATCATGTAGATATTAGCATACTATACCCCTTAAAGTCTCCTGTTAAGCTTTGCCTAATCTGTCTTAAGTTCCCCCTTTCTCCACTTTCACTGATCCGCTCTTACATCTTGATTAACATGTATTGCATTTAGCAATACCCTCTCAGACTAACATGTAAAAGGAGTATCACCTAACAACACCTCATAGAATAAGCTCCTACCCATTTAAACCCATTCTTAATCAATGGTTCTTTCGTATTGCGCCTATTCTTAATCGATATTTCTTTCTTTTTCCCTGAGATGGTAAAAGAAGTGTTTTTTGTTTGCACCCTTCTTAATCAGTAGCTCTCTCTTTCCCTGAGGCAGTGTTGTGGATGACAGAATACAGATGTTGGACGTAGAGGGTACCGCCAAACGATTAATCGGAATATGACGGAAATTTAACACTTTGCAAATATAAGTACATAGTTAATAATAGTTTGTCCTTTTAGAGGTAATTAAATGCATATGAACACATTGTAGAGCAATAGGGACGAGCCACCACCACCACCAGCTCATGGTTTGTCTTGCTCGCTAAGCTCGGCTCGACGCATCTGGATAGGTATGCTCACTTGCCCAGTTATCCATGATAATAAGAATATGTTTTTAGTCAATAATATATTTCACAGTTTCTTCCACCTCCTTTACCTGCCAGTTTTGAGACACGAATTTGCTTATGTGGATGCGCCAACCAACCAGATCTTGAAGGACCTGAAGTCCCAAATATTATTACCACGGGTGTGCTATGCCAAATCATTCTAAACAAAAAGTAAGTTATACATATGTTATTTTTGAAGGACATAGTCGGTTATGCATCTCTTATAAAACAGTGTTACTTTGTCTGCTCACCACCTAGGATTTGTTTTTTTTTTATAATTGTGCTTTACTCAAAGTGGAGTTGTAAACTGATAGTACACAAAGATCGTGTGCATGATCCTTTTAATTTGTTTGACAATATTTCTATTGAATCAATTTAGTTTTTATTTCTCACTTTTCTATCTAAGGCACTCTATTATTATGCTGGATGCTAGACCTAGCAGAATGGCATTACAGTTTGCGACAAAAGGGATGTACAGTTCAGTTGAGCACCAAGATTGATCGTAGAATTGACAACATTTGATGTATGTATATATATCTGCGGAAATTACAAACAATGCCAAATCATGTCATCTAAAAATTGGCACATTCCATTTTTGCATGTTGTAGTTTCCTTGTTGGACATGAGTTTAAACAAAGGTTTAGTCTTGGTCCTTGGATCCAAGCAATGCTTGGTAAGCCATGATATCTTCACTGAAATGTTTCATAGGATATATGTATGCAATGCAAGAAAATTTTTGTTTGTATTATTATTGTGTAATTTACAGAACATACTTATCATTGAGGGCTTCAAATTTAACTTCAAGTATGCTATGCATAACCACTTGCAGTTGACTATATATGTTCCCTGAAGCACATATCAGGCACCGACATTACAAATTTACAATTATCCTTTCTGCTTCCGCCATGACACATATGTTTCCCCATACAAGCTAGCTGTTATCCTTTAGACTTTTGCATGTAAAATTCTGTTGTAGACAATTAATTAAACCGAACTGCTTACAAGAGGCGCGCAATAGGCGCGCCCCAGGCTCTAGTACTAGAAAGGGTTTGTGCGCTACGCCGCGCAGCAAAAAAAATTAAACAGAAAATATTACAGAACGATTAGGTGATTAATACATATACATGTACTCCGTCAGTGATCATTTACATTGATTAATAAACAACACACTAATATACAGGACAAATAAAGTAGCTGCCTTTTTCTAGTGAGAACTCGTGGCTACCGGAAATGGTCCATTTATAAGTTCATGTGCATTCTTCTCTCCTGCTAGTTCAATCCACAACAAAAGCACAGCAGTATGAATGGCAGCTTTGGTCCTGCAAACATGAAATGGTTATACTTATGTCGGACGATATAATGCACATAATAGTTTCGTTATAAAGCAGCACCGACTGAAGAGTGGGAGCATCAAACTAAATGAATCAAACATAAAAGAAGAATATATATTATGAAATATAGCGCAGTCTCCAGCTCTTATCAGTCAAAATAAATAAGTAAATAAAAGAATATATAATATATAGAAATATGTAAGAGCAGCAGGAAAATGATTATCCGTAGGCATCGCCATCGTTTGGAAAGCCTTTGTGTCATATTAAACTCTGAAAAGTGCTCTAGAATGACGTATATAGTCAACTGCAAGTGGTTATGCATAGCATACTTGAAGTTAAATTTGAAGCCCTCAATGATAAGTATGTTCTGTAAATTACACAATAATAATACAAACAAAAATTTTCTTGCATTGCATACATATATCCTATGAAACATTTCAGTGAAGATATCATGGCTTACCAAGCAGTTGACTATATATGTTCCCTGAAGCCTTTGTGTCATATTAAACTCTGAAAAGTGCTCTACATTGCCATAACTGGAAAAAAGAAGCCCTCGACAGACTACCTGCCAGCAAAATTAAAGGTGGAAGCTAATCATTTAATTGCTGCTCCTTGGCAAACTCCTGAATCCAATAACCGTGGTGCTGGTGTGTCACCCTGCTGCAGCCCTATTGATGCACTACCATTCCATGGTCTGGAAGACCAGTGTGGGTCTTGCACCGGCAAAATGAAGAAATATACCAGCAACAAGGCTTTCATTGAAAGCAAGACTGCCATTTTGTCTCATGTGATTCACCTCAGCTTGGATGCCTGAAAGTAGTGTTTGCAATTTTGAAACTTATGTAATACAATCAACGTAGGTTGTATCCATTCTAAAGAAAATCAACCCTGCTTTTTCTTTATGAATGTAGGAAACATGCATGGACTTAATGAAATTACTTTTTTATGCTGGTTTTAGATGAATTTGTGTTTCACTCTGTTTCAGAACAAAGAATTGCATCACAACAGGCTAAATTTGTTTCGAGCAGTGCAAGAACATGTTTGCAGGAATAGGACCTTGAAGATTGTTGTTGGCAAGATTTCTATATGCAAAATTTGGTCAACAATTGCACAGAATAAAAATAAAGCATACAATGTAATTCTTAGACACGATAAAATTTCTTATAGTTCAAAAAGCTCAAGTTTGCCAAGTTCAGCTGGAATTCGAGCTTTGCACAGGCACAGCTCTTTTCATGATTGTTACAGGGAGGAGGGTTGTCAGTTGATGACAGGAGGTCAGGATTAGTTGCTTTGGAGGTGACAGCCTAATGGTCGCATTTGCTTTAGCACATCTACATCTTTAAGTTTCTATTGAAAATTAGACTTGTGATGGTGATGACAAATTCAATTTCCCTTAAAGTTATTTTGAGACTCCTCCAGTCTTTCCACTATTCATTCATAAAAAAAATAAAAGATTGGCATGTGGTAATCCATGGCAAATGATTACAAAACCACAGAACACATCAACCATGAAACTCAAAAGTACCTGCAGAGCTAGTCCATAACCTCCATCAATTTCTTGTTCGAAGAAAAGTAGCTGTAGAGAAATATTCAGCAATTGAGAGAACTATAAATAATATTCCAAAATTCAAAAGAGATGCAGAACATAAAACCTTCAATTCCAGAGCAACCGAAGGAATAATCAACCTCATATCTTAAATTTACTTTGTGCGGCTGAGGTGACTCTGAGTCTCTGACTACAATGCCTGACCGAGCTTGTTCTTCACTTATTGTTACACCATTAAAAAAAGAGCACATTTCTTGTCAACCTATAAATAGAAAAATAGCCATCCCATTATAAACAAGATCATAAAACTGGTAGTGGCGGAACCTTTCCTGCTGCTGATGATCCAACTGGGAGTGATCTCAATGTATCTGTTCCACTTATAGCTCCTTCAAGAACATTCAAGACAGAAGGAGAACTGGAAGGATAAGAACTGAACCTTTGTTGCTTAACTCGACCAAAATTTTTTTGTTGACCTGAACCATTGCTGAAAGAATAGAACAGGAAGGAGAGAACTGAATCCTTTCTAATTCTTCATTATACCAAGCTGTCACAGACCATGCGCGGAGGATGTCGGACCCGGATGCTTGAAGGGGACAGGTTTGACGGAGATCTCAACGGCCAACTTCTGCCAATCCGCTTCCTCCATCCTCGCGGGCAGCCCGCTTCTTCTTTCTCCACCAGTCAAACTGTCAGATCCGGCGAGGAATTGAGCTGCCGACCACGGAGCGGCGCCGTAGATTTGGGTAGGAGGGAAGAGTGGAGTGGATGGGCAGAGTGGAGGGGGCCGGAGGAGCTGCTGGCAGAGGACGGCGGTGGCCGGAGGACGACGACGCAGGGGACGGATAGGAGAGAGACGAGCGAAGAAGGCTGCCGCCACTGCAGGTCCCTCGCCGCCGCTGCCAGAAGGGGAGGGAGAAGAAGGGAGGGGACACGGCGGGTCGGCGGCAACACCAACGACGGGCGCCGCATCTGTCCTCCCTCGTCGCAACCGCCGCCGCCGGCGCAAGTGAAGGGAGAAGGAGGAAGGGAGCACCTGGGCCGGCTCCGACGGGCGCCTCATCCGTCCTGCCCCCAGCGGCGCTGCCACAAGGTGAGGTAGGAGGGAGAGGAGAGGGAGAAAAAGGGGGAGGGAAGACAACGGCGTCGGCTCGAACGCGCCATCCGCCCCGATTCCGCCGTGAGGGAAGGGAGAAGAAGGGGGGGCGGGGAACCGGCGACGGCTCCAACGCCGCCGCCGAATCGCCGATCGGAAGGGGGAGCGAAAGGGGATCGGGGAGGGCGTCGTGGATTCCACGACCAGGTAAGGACGGAACCACCTAGGAAACGAACGGCCAGATTTTGTCCACGCGTGGGAAAGAACGGCTCTGATCACGTGGACTCAATTAGAATTAGAAATACGAAAATAACGAGGGGTTTTGCGCAAAATTTGATGACGTGGATCGGCTGGGCTTGCGGCGACTCTAGCACCTTTAAGATATCTAGTATCTAGTGTATATATATATATATATATATGCGATGCTTTGGTCAGATCGATGCCGCGCTCCCAACTCGCGGGATCGCGTTGGTAACTTGGTATCGCACGATTCGGCTCGCCACCGCGTTGCCACGCTTCTGTGGCGTAGGACCATGGCGGTGCCGCCCGCCCACGCCGTCGGACCATACAGCTGTTCCACGCTCCCTCCCATGCCACAGGAATGGTCCAGCTGTTGGTCCCCTCTCCGCAGTCCGCACCGCGTTGTGTGTCCCCACGTTCCTCTCACGTGGAATTGGTATATTTTTGCATTTTCTCACCATGCATGTATATAAACATAAATTGTTTAGAAAAAAATGTATATTCTTGAATTCTTTTCCAAAAGCTAAGTTATAGATTCACTGTAGAGTTCTTCGATCTTAAAAGACCTGATTTCATGTCACGCCATGAATTTCCCCTCCCTTCTTTAAATTCATAAAATAAATCGTCCGAAGAAATTGTTCAATTTAACCTAGAGCTAATTACTCAAATTAATAAATGCAAATAATAATCGGAATCGGCATGGAGAATTTTTCTTGAGTTCCCCATGTCACAATACATTGACAGGATTTTTAGTGGAATTTCCAAAGCCCCGGGAATAATTTTAACCAATTAAAATTCATCAAAGTGCAATATTTAATCCCAAGAAAATCCCCTTTTTCTTTTTCCCTTCTTTTTCTTTCTTTTTCCTCCCTTTCCTTTCATCATGGGCCGCCTGCCCATTCCTTTTCTTCCCCTCCCCGAAGTCCTCCCTCCCTCCCTCCCTCTCTCCTTCGGGCGCCGACAGGTGGGGCCCACCTGTCGGTCGTCTTCCTCCTCTAGCAATTGGAGCCGGAGCTCCAACCGCCGGCGCCCCACCTCCTCCACTCCGCATCCGCGCCCCACCCCACGCCCACGTCGCCGCGCCCACGTCGCCGCCCGCTTCCCCCTCCTCTCCCGCACGCACGCGTCCCCGCAAGGGCGGGATTTGATTTGAATCCCCCCCCCCAACTCTCTATCCCCACTTTCCCACGTCGCCGGCCAAATCGGGGGTTTCCCGGCCGTGTCCACCCCTCCTGAGCCCCTATAAAGCTTCCCCGCAACCCCCTCTCTCGTTTCCCTCACTCGCCGGCCTCTCCCGAGCTCTCCACCGCTCCCGCACCGTGCACCCACCCGCTGCCGCCTCTTCTACTACTCTGGCCGCCTCTAGCCGCCGCTAGGGCCGCCGCCGCACCGCGCCACCGCCGCCATCGGGTTCGCGCGGCCGAGGTCCACCTCGTCCACCTCCCCTCCGTCTAGTTCCGCTGCCAGAGCCCGCTTCTGCCCGCGCTCCGGTGAGGTTCCACCATTGCCGCCGCCTTCGGCCATGTTTTTGCCCGCCGTGGACTCCCTCTCTCTCTAACCTCTCTCTTTTCCTCTCTTAGGGTGTCCCGGAGCTCGGCCGCCGTTCGCCGTCGCCCTCCGGTCGCTCGCTGTCGCCGTTCGTCGTCGCCTCCTCCCACGCCGGCCGAACCCCGGTGAGGAACCCTTCCCCCTCTTTTCCCCTTCCTCTCCCTCCTAGCGCCAAGCCGGGCCGAGCCGCGACTTCGGCGGTGCGCCGTCGCCTTCGACTAACGCCGCCGCCTTCCGCGCCGTCCGCCGCCACCGGTTGCCGTCGCCGGCAACCGCGTGCCGCCGCCGCTCGCCATGGCTGGCCGGCCGGCTTGAGGCCGAGCCGAGCCAGGCCAGCGCCTCCCTCACCTCCCCTTTGAGCCATTGCCTGGTGGGACCCGCCTGCCAGCCGCCATCTCCCTCCCCCTTGAGCCGTTGACATGCGGGGTCCGCTTGTCGGCGCCGCCCCACCCCTTGGATGACGTTAGCCCTGGGATGCTTTATTGCGCAATAAATCAATAAGGCTTTTCTTTAATAGTAAAAACACTGAGAATCTTCTAAAATTCATAACTAATTCATCCGAGCTCCGATTAAATCCATTCAAGTCTCAGTAAATTCATAAAAATCTCTAGAATCTATTAAAAATGGTTTTGTTCCCTGTTTCAGTAGTCTTATAGCATGTTTTGCTTGTGTGCTTTGTTTGTCGCGTAGATTTCGGCCGTTCCGTCGATTCGCGATTTCTCGAAGACGTTGCTGTGGTCTCATCAGTGCGAGAGCAAGGCAAGTCATGCATTACAATTGATCATATTGTACCCAATCTACAAATGTCCCGCATTTCTATTAAATATTGCATTGTTTTACAATATCATGTGGGATAGGTCCTATTACTCAGCTGTATGTTGTTTCCCTTACGCCGTTGATAACTTGGGTATTAAAATGACTGATGTTGGTTTAGGAGATGCTTAGCCATGCTTAGTTCAACTAGCCCACAAATGGGGAATCACATAATGCATAGACCTTGATTATTGGCATAGCTTTGGAATAGAGCCACCGCAATGGTGTTAGTTAATTAAAATACACTACATGGTGGGTTGTGGGTGCATGGTTTTGCTAGTCGTGCCCATGGCGATTAAGGACCAGTTCGCGGGATGCACTGGAAGAACTTATCGTACTTACCACATGCCAGCGTGGGCAACGACTGGGCTTGTAGTATAGCTTTCCTCTAGCCGACGTACCCAGGCAAGGGTGGGCGTGATGGAGTTGGGTCGGTCGAGGTGTCCGGTTGATCGGCTTCCGGATTCACCGTGGCACGAGAGGGGACTGCCCGCTGCCTTGCGAGGAGTGGGGGTGAAACCTGAGGTGTGGTGCGATTGGTTAGAGGGGGTTATGCGAAGGGTCCTATCACGGCCTCTTTCCGGTATGTCGTGGTGGCATGTCGGCGCACGGAAACGTATCGTGGGGCTGTGTCTTGTGGGTACAGTTGTACACCTCTGATCAGAGTAAAACTATTCGAATAGCTGTGCCCGCGGTTATGGGCGGTCGACCAGATTCACCGTGATTAGTCTCACCCCTAGTTAGCTTTTGAACTAGTGTAGTTCAGGTGGTTGGTTGGGCCTGTTGCAACGTGGTGTAGCGTTGGACAGTGATTGGTTAATATTGATTAATTACTACAACTGTTTTACTGCTTTCAACTACTGCTTTTAAATGCTAGCTTTATGCAAAAGAACCTTTAGCCTCCCTTGGATATATCCTGCATCATACCTTCTCTTCTGGTATGACTTGCTGAGTACAGTGGGTAGTACTCAGTCTTGCTCTCTTTTCCCTCATACCAGAGTTGAAGTTCTTCTCAGTTGGAGATGTCTCGAAGAAGTTGGTTTCGTCGCTGCCGTCAAGGATGCCTGTGGAATGGAGTCACCTGCTGCAGGAGTCAAGTCTTCAGGCTTAGCTCGCTTTTATATTTTCCGCTGCATTTGTAATCTTTTATATTTTTGTAAGACATGGATGTATATATCAACAATTGTCGTTTATGTATCCTGGTTGGTCATAGATAGAGGTTTAATGCATATTCAGCTTAGAAATTCTGGTTCGTGAATTTCTGGGCGTGACATTTCATTACAATCTCCAAACCTCTCTAGCTGGGTTTGTAAAAGACTGAGCCAAACCTCCTACTGGAATAATTTGATGCACTTCAACGAGCATCACCCTACCCAAATCTGTATACCAATTAATTGAAATAAAGGTTCAAGAATCATAAGTAAAGCCAACCAACAATCATAAGTAAAGCTAACCGGCGAGTTACGGACAATGAGGGAATCATTAAGTACTAACTAAAAAACTTAAAAATAGATTAATATGATTTTTAAAGCAATATTCCTATAAAGTTTTTTTTTAAAAAAACACACCGTTTAATTTACCAGTTCGGGAAGTGTACGCGCGGAAATAGGAGTAGAAGTTGGGAAATGGTAGATTCGAACTCGCCCTTAGCATGCAACACATCATAGGGGAGGGATTGAACTATCGAGTCTAAATTTTTTTTTTCACTAAGATCAAAGAGTAATTAACCCATCAATCATGTGACAAACTCAACGAACTATACATATGCATACAACCAATAAGTACTCAGATAACTTCTTGGATACCGGTCAACAATTTAATTTAGCACATAGAGATTACAAATAGGTTTTAGATTCTTAGAAAAACCAAAAAATGATATAGTTCTTAGACTTTTGAATAGAGTGAGTATCTAATAGGAGAGTTCTGACAAGAACTATAGACATTAGGGGCAAGTTTCTCACTTCTCTAGGGAACCCTTCGGAAATGTCCTGTAAATTAAGAATAGTTAAAACAGGTGTTATATGGTGACACGCACAAGAAGACTGACTAAAAGTATAAAACAAAGATTAAGATTAAATATACCTGCAACACGGTAGAGATACTTGAGAAGAAGAATCAACTGCATCATTTGTATCCTCTTCTAACCATAAATCATCCTCCCCGAACTCCCTGCAATAGCAGAAAAACAATCCCACATTTTACTTCAGATGTTAAACATCAAGCGGCCTGAAAATAAAACTTCAACGAGAGAAAGTACGTTCCAACAACTTACTGCAGGAAACAGAATCGATCGAAACTCCCATGATCCTGTACTGTAGTAGACAGCATATCTACGTTGCGCCAAGTAGAATGCAAGATTTGGGTGCTACGGGGAACAAATTCTCCACGATGGTTGCGGGCGCCAATAACCGTCAGCGTGGTGGCTAGTAGGGGTGGACAGGAAGCTCGTGGCTCCTTAGCTCGCTCGGCTCATGACAGGCTCGGCTCGTTTGAATTTCCTAACGAGCCGAGCTGGCATTTCAGCTTGTTAGAGATAACAAGCCAGCTCGAGCTGGCTTGCGAAACGAGCCAGAGCAGATGAGGCCCAGGCGCCTAGCCCAGCCCAACAGCCCATCACCTTGTGAAAACCCTAGAGTCAATCCCCTTCTGGCTTGTCCCCATCCCTAATCCACATCCAAGCCGCCGCCAGCCCTCAAGGCCTCAACGCTGCCGCTCGCCCGCGCCTCTCCTCCCCAGCGCCGACGCTGCCGCCCACGCCTCTCCTCCCCGGCGCCGACGCGGCCGGCCGTGGACGCCGCCGCCCGCGCCGCTCCTCCCCAGCGCCCACGCGGCCGACGCCGCTGCTCCTCCCCGGCGCCGCCGCCCGTGCTGCTCCTCCCCGGCGCCGACGTGGCCGGCCATGGACGAGTCTAACGAGCTCCTCCCCTTGTCCGCAAAGCTCACGAGCCTAACGAGCTGGCTCGAGCTTTCAAATGAGCCGAGCTGAGCTGGGTTTCTTGCTCGTTAGGATAACGAGCCGAGCCGAGCTAGCTCGTTATCCTAACGAGCCAGACCGAACCGAGCCGAGCCGAGCCAAGCCAGCTCGACATCCACCCCTGGTGGCTAGCAGATGACGAGTGGTGCAGCCGCAGGCAAGATCCATGCCAATCCAGGCAACACACAGAACTCGATTGCTGAGACCGGCAATAAATGCATTACCATGAGCACTGAAATCATCGTATAGACTTGCAAGCTTAATCGGTGGAGCCATCTTCCCCTCCTCTAGTGAGAACTTGTAGGCATACAAACAGCTATCCCGGAAGAAATAGATGTGATCATCTTCCTCCGAGAACACCGCCCTTCCATTGAGAGGAATGTAGTGGCAACAATCACCAACAAGGTAAACTCGACTCCAATGGCAAGTGGAACACCGGAAGAGATAAAAGTCGCAAGTCCGTAGTGATACCAGAATCACATCACCAAGCACTGCAAATCCTTGAAGAAGAGGGGTTTTACCGGACATTGCATAGCCTCCATAGATGGAGCTGTAGTACCCAGTCCCAGAGGCGCTCATGGAGATGGTCGAGGAGGAGGAGCTGTCCTCTTGGGGGAGGTCAATGCTGCCGGCGTCGATCCAGCAGTACTGGTCGTCACTGGTCTCGTCCAGATGCAGCATGGTGAGGCGGCGGCTCCGCCCGCGACCGCCGGGAATCGGCGCGACGTAGGGCGCCCAGATCTTGGCCGCCGCGGGCACGGGCCATGCCAGCACGCAGGAAGAGGAGGGGAGGTCCATGGCGAAGATTGTGGGCAGCGTCCTGTCGGAGAGGTCGAGCGCCATGGCAACCGTGGGCTTGGAGATGGGCGTGGCCACCTGGCCGGAGTCCCCCCATCCCGATCCCGGGCTGAGGAGCCAGCGGTCGCAGAAGAGGTAGAGCCGCCGCTGGTCGTCGTCCCGGGTGATCAGCGCGGCCCGGGCGTCGGGGAAGACCTCCGCTTCGTCGTCCGCCGGGGCGACGCGCATGAGGCGGCGGAGGAGGTCGCCGGGGCGGCCGAGGACGCGGCCGGAGGTGGCGTCCACGCGGAGCCTGTGCAGCCGCAGGTTGTGCATCCGTATGTCGGCCGAGGTGCACCCGACCACCACCGTCCAGATCTCCCCCGTGCTCTCATCAGCACCCGCCATGAACTCACTCGATCGATCGCCCGCGGGAGCCCAACGTCCCAGCCTCACCCGCCGCCGCAGAAGAAGAAGAAGAAGAAGAAGAAGAAGAAGAAGAAGAAATATGCCTCGCCGGTGCAGTCTCCGTCGCCGCCGATATGATATCCAGGTGAGGAGAGGATCGGAGTTGATGGGCGGCGGCGTGGGAATCGGCGAGGACGATTGGGTGACGCGTTGGGGGGAGGCCTCGCCGCCGCCTGGGCCGGGGGTGGCCGGTGGGAGTGAAAACGGTACGGAAACTTTCCGGATTCCGGACCTATTTTCGAAAACGGAATATGCCGGTCGGAATTTTTTCGGAATTTTTCGGAAACGGAAACGAATTCGGAACTATTTTCTCGGAAACGGAATCGGAAATGATAAGGGCAGTTTCCGTCGGAACTCGGAATCGGTCGGAAACTTTCCGGAAATTTTCTCGGAATTTCCAGAAATTTCCTCGGAATTACCAGAAATTTTGTGACTGAAATACCCTTGATTCTTTTTTTAAGCACTAAATAGTGAATACCATGGTGTTTGGCTGTTATTTTTCTTAAAAAAAATATTTGTTATGCAAATCTAAAATTACATAAGAATATTTTTGTGCTACATTGGGATTTATCAACAACATTACTCTTTTAAACATAGATAATTTATTCAATTGGATTTATTAGTTTGAAGGGTTTTTTATTCCGATAAATTTTCGTTACCGTATTCGCGCCGGTTCGTTTTCGCTCCGTTTTCGATTTCGATAATATTCGATTCCGTTTTCGTATCCGGGGTTTCCGATTCCGATTTCGATTCCGAAAAAAATATGAAAACGAAAACGATAAAGATGGTTTCCGTCCGTTTCCGTACCGTTTTCACCCCTAGCAACAAGGCTGCAAACTGGGTTGGGAATGGAATGGGTGCAGCCGGACCGCGTCACGTCGCGTACCCGACCGAATCGGCTCCACTGTTCCAGGAGTCCAAGGGTACTTTGACCTTGGGCGTATGTGGCCTTTTGATTACTCCTATTTTGGTTCTTGAAAAACGAAGAGCTCATTGGTTACCCTAGCAAGTTATAAACCCAAAGCCAAAAAATTTAAATTTTCAAACTTAAATTTAAAGTTGATTTTAATATATATTTTCGACATAGTTTGTTTAGTACTATTGGCTTTTAAGTCGCTCAAAATACATATATAAAAGTTTTATCTATAAATTAATTTTTGTTTTCTAATAAGTCGTTTTAGCTTATTAAGTAATACTAGGTGATTCCCCACACTTTGCTGTGAGAACTACTAAGCAATTCTTAATATATTTTTTTTAACAATTAAGCTAGGAGCAAAAACGAAAAATAATAAAGTATCAAGGTTTATCAATAAAACAAAGAAATGATAGCCGCGCTTCTGAGGAGAACATACTCCACATGTAGCATCCTGTTTCCTGGATATCTGTAAAGTGGCAACTAACTGCAGGACAGACGGTCAATATCCCCTGGAAAATAGTGGAATTTGTCGAAGATTCACATCATGAATAGAGGGAGGAAATCGAGCTCAGAATGAATGTGCATTTGTTTCGTGAATCGAGCACAAAAAAGGAGCACAAAAATCGAGCCAGCAAAAGGGTGTTCGTCCCATGGATCCCTTTGTCTCTCTCCGACGATATATCTCTATCTTTCAAATCCAAAAGGAAGCAATTCCCATACATCTCAGTTTCGTAATGACCATTAACAAATCATAAGGACAAACAATACCAAATGTTGGGATCTATCTTCCAGAGCCCGTGTTTTCACATGGTCAACTATATGTCGTATTGTCAAGGGGTGTGTTAAGGCTAACAACAAGGATTTTGGCAAAGCCAAATAAAAAAATTGACTCAACATGGAAGAGCACTAGAAATGACGTTCTTGACTGGTGAGCAAAGGTAGATTCGCATGATCTAAATTAATTCAAAAAAATATTGCAGAATATAGTAAATTGCTCATCGGAATGTTACTCACCATCGTCCTCTTGTTTTATAAAGCATGCCATCACCTTTTATATGGAATGCCATGTGATTATCTTCTACATACTATCTCACAAGATGCGTCAGTTTGCACTAGGCTATCATTTGAGATTGTAATTATGGTCCGTATTATATTAATGGATACATATGCTTACAAAATTGTTCTGGATTATTTTTTTTATATGGTAAAATTGTTCTGGATTATTTTTTTTATATGGTTCATCCATACAACTTAAGTGGATAATGCACCGCAGACAGCCCACACCATCACCATTGCCATCCACCGTATACAGCCCGCACCGCTGCCATCGCCATCACCATCGCCGCCGTCGCCGCTTGCTCTGCTGTTTTTTGGGGAAAAGATAGAGATGGGGAATAGGGCTGACAAGTGGGCCCTACGCTTTTTAGTTTTTCTCCTATCACTTACATGTGGGCCTCATCTTGTAAAGTTTTATTGTGCCCACGCAATATCATAGTACTCCACTTTACATGAAATATATTTTATGTACGATATGAATTGAATTAAAATTCAAATGCCTAGATCATATACAAATATTTTTTGCTAACATGAAATTCTAAAAATTATTAAAGACAAATAGAATTGCACCGTAGCGTTTAACATGGGCATATTACTAGTGAATAGGGGGAGGAAATCGAGCTCAGAATGAATGTGCATTTGTTTCGTGAATCGAGCACAAAAAAGGAGATTACGGCCGTGTTTAGTTTTAAAGTTTTTCTTCAAACTTTCAACTTTTTTATCACATCAAAACTTTCCTACACACAAAAACTTCCAACTTTTTCATCACATCTTTCCAATTTCAACCAAACTTTCAATTTTAACGTGCCTACAACCTACTCTAGAGCATAGGAACATCACGGTCGTAGTCACATAGCGGATACCCTTCAAGGAAAGAAAGATGCATGGTGCAGCCGGTTGTGCTCTCCGCGTAGGTCCCTATCTCCGCGACCAGCGTTCGATTTCGGCCGGACACACTCACCCTCTTTCTTAATAAATTTGACATCGGGTCCCTTCCCAGCGTCCCAGCGTTTATAGGACAAGTGAAAAACTCTCGCAAGACACCATTTTTAACCTCAGATATGGTCGACGTATTGCTCTCAAACACGCACTGCCCATAGAATCATCTACTACGGTAGTATACTACCTGAATAGGTGAATAGCATAAGGAGTTACTACTTAGGCCCCGTTTAGTTCCTCAAAAGTTTTTCTCAAAAACATCACATCGAATCTTTGAACGTATGCATGGAACATTAAATATAGATTAAAAGAAAGACTAATTGCACAGTTAAGGGAGAAATCGCGAGACGAATCTTTTGAGTCTAATTAGTCCATGATTAGCCATAAATGCTACAGTAATCCATATGTGCTAATGATGGATTAATTAGGCTCAAAAGATTCATTTTGCGGTTTTCATACGAGTTATGAAATTAGTTTTTTCATTCGTGTCCGAAAACCCCTTCCGATATCTGGTTAAACATCCGACGTGACACCCAAAAATTTTCATTTCCTGAACTAAACAGGCCCTTATACAAGGAGTTACTACTTATACAACGGCTATCCAGGTCAACAAAGTTTAACAAAACAAATGGCTCACCGCTTCAGCAGCAGGCAGTCCGAAGAGAAGAGGCAAAGTGCTTGAGATCACATCCAGAATTCCAGCCCAGGAGTTGGTCATCTTGTCGTAGGTCTGTGTCCTTCCGGATCTCCGTACTCTTCTTCCAGGTCCAGTCAGCCCTCGCTGTTGTTGAATGTTAAAAAAAAATTACAAATATATTTACTTTTTTAATAATTTATCATCATATACATACATGGGAAAAAATTACAAAAAAATATAACCATCCCGCGACGGTCCCGCAGCTCCAAAACGCGGGACCGACAGTCCCGCGGGATGGTCACGCGGCACCACGACGGTTCCGCAAATCCAAAACGCGGGGCGCAACGATCCCACGTGGCCAAAACGCGGCACCACGGCTGGAGCGATTTTATTATGCGTTCGCAGCTGTTGAGCATTGTTGTAAACACTATTTAGCACTGTTTATCACTATCCATTAGGCAGTCCCACAGCTCCATTGTGCGGAACCGGCATGTGAACAGTGCCAAATAGAATATTAACAGTACTGTAACAGTGTCAACACAGTAATAAAAATTGCTGCTATTGTGGTGCTGCCGTCACGGTCCCGTGTTTTGGAGCTGCGGGACCGTCATGGTGCCGCGTGACCATCCCGCGGGACCGACGGTCCCACGTTTCACAGCTGCGGGACCGTCGTGGTCCCGTGTTTCCATCCTGCGGGATAGGTATATTTTTTCAAATCCTTCCCATACAAATATATAAACGTAACTTATTAAAAAATAAGTATATTCGTAATTTTTTTCCGTCGAATGTTACCCTGACAAGATGACTCCGATGAACTACTTAGGACCACATCAATAATTCGACGCACCCTGAAAAGAAAGTTATAAGAAGAAGAACGTGACAACATGGATCTCTAGTTCTCTACTATTTTCCACACAATTCATAATCATGGTACATAAAAATTGCTCTGTTCACCATTTGGAGCTCAAGGTTTGTGCATTTTGTGACTTGACAAGCAAACGAGCTGTTGAACTGGCATTTATTTAGTCTGTGATATTAATTTTCCTTGAATTATCACCTTAACAGCAGCACTTCATCAGCCATTGTATAGGCTAATAGTGCACTTGAAGTGATAAACATGTCCACGCACACTCTCCCCACTAATGCATTTTTTTCTGGCTTGCAAATGCTAAGAATAGATAAAGGGAAGATTAATTAAGCAAAAGGTATGGTTACACGTTTCTTAGATAACTATATGTGTACCGACTGTACAATGAGGTTTGAACCCTGAAGCAACCAATAAAATTACTTTAAATTGGAGAAATACCTGGATCTGGATGGATGTGATTTCAATTAAGTTCTTTCTTAGCTGAGGAGTTCCAAGATGCTGTATCCCCATATCAGATCAGATGGAGCTTTCTGTGCACAAAAGGACCAAGATGTAAACCTCATTTTTCAATAGAAGAGGTTAATACCCCTCCCAGATGACTTTACAAGAGCCTAAAAGCATAGCCTGGACCACCAGAATAGTTCACAAAGACAGAAATATAACAAAGACATGAGAGTCTAACTCAGTTCTCTCACGCGATGAGGAACATCAATTAGAGTTCAGTTTCTATTAGATTCTGGGAACAGGAAAATACAACCCACTTGCAAAGCTTGAACTACTCTATCATCAGGCACCATCCT